CTCTGCTAGGGCTCAAAGCCTATGTCATTTTGGTTTTGTGTTTTGTTTTCAGACTGTCCAAGTGATTGTCCAGGCTCGACTTGGCGAAAAGATTTGCACTCGTTCATCTTCTTCCCCAACGGGTTCAGATTGGGTAAAAATGTCTTTTCTTTACTAATGGGTGTATTTACAGTGGTGTTTGTTACAAGAAATGAATATAAATTTCTCAACTGCTATAATGCATATTTTTTATAGTGTGCTAAATCATAACATTGATATATCTAATAACATTTGATCCATTCATATGGAAAGTTTATTCCTTATAAGAATTAGTCTTTAGTTTATTTGAATCTTGACATTGTGTTATGACAGGTGTAAAATTTAGTCCTTAGAAAACAAAATAATATCTTATTAGCTAATCTTTGTAGTAGGTAATTAACCTTTCAACCTGAAACTTGGGCTTTTGTTGCAAACTGTCTCCTATGGTGAAGGAAGATGTGTCTGGGTGCTTTTCTTTAATCAACTAAAGCAATACCTGCGTGCACTACTCTGTTCCAGAATGTTCCTTGAGCGGCTTAACACAGAAGACTCTCTTTGTTTTTAAGTTTAATTTAGCAATCAAAGACATCCCAGAGGTTACACATGAAGCAAAGAAGGCCTTATCAGGGCAGCTGCCTGCTGTGGGGCGCTCCATGTGTGTGGAGATCTCACTCAAGACTTCTGAGGTAAGGTCATGGTTAGACTTGATAGCCTTACTTGGTACATGAGGCTCTTCATCCTTTAGTTCCAATTCATTTCTCAGCCTTGTTCATGTTCTTTACCTCTCTGAATGTCTAATCATTTTCTGATGGGGTCAGGGATTTTTTGTTTTACAGTTTTGCTATGCTGGGATTGAACCCTGGTATCACCCACAATTATATTAACACAGGAATGTTATAAGGCTGAGGAATTCTGTGTCTAGTGTTTTCTTGCACTAGACATTGGAAAATGTCAGCCTTTCTAAAGGTCAGTTTGGAAATATAAAGTTTTAGGTCTGGGGATGGAGACCAGTGGCCGAATCCTGGCCTACTACATACAGTATGCCCTGAATCCATAGTTGGGAAAGTGAGGCAGGAGGACTGAGCTGCTTATTCTAGTTTTACTGTGTCTTATGTTTTTTTTTTGGATTTAGTTTTATGTTATATGAGTATTTTATCTGCATGTATGTAAGTGTGCCATGTGCTTACAATGCCTGTGGGGGCCAGAAGAGGGCACCAGATCCTTTGGAACTGGAGTTATGGATGGTCGTGAGCTGTCATGTGAGTGCTGAGAACCAAACCCAGGTCCTGCAAGAGCAGCCAGTATTCTTAAACTGCTGAGCCATCTCTCCAGCCCCTTCAAGCTGTACTTTTATCTGCACACATGCACTGTGGCAGGCATGTATATATCTGCATGCACATGATTTGCACACACACACACACTAAATAAATAATAAATAAATAAAAAAATATAAACTGGGAAAAAAATTTTCTGATCCAATTTCCTTAATCTTTAAAATTTGGTTAAAGAGATTGAGGATGTGTACAAAGTTCATTTTTCTTGAGAAAGGAACTTTGTACACATCCTCATTTTGCCCTTTTTGTTTGTTTGTTTTGGGGGGCTTTGTTTGTTTGAGACTGGGTCTCATGTAGTGCAGACTGACCGAAGCTTGCTATGTAGCCAAGGATGACCTTGAAGTCTTGATACTTCTGCTTCTGCCTCCCAAGTATTGGGATTCACTGGTGTGGGCCGTCACACCCAGCCTCTTGTTTATCAACTTTTCTTATAGTAATGAAAATTTAGAAATATATCCAAAACTAGGGGGATTGGTTGGATCAAATGATAGTAATGGTATAGAAAGTAACTATTAAAAGTAATGTGGAATTTGGGGTTAGGGATTTAGCTCAGTGGTAGAGTGCTTGCCTAGCAAGTGCAAGGCCCTGGGTTCAGTCCTCAGCTCTGGGGTGGAGGGGCGGGTAATGTGGAATTTGAAGATACTGCTAGTGTAGCTGAGTAGTGGCATATTTGTGTGGTGCACGCAGAGCCTTGTGTTTGATCCCCAGTACCACAAATCTCTCCCCTTCCCTCCTTTCTCCCCCTTTTTCCCCCTACCCCTTTCTGTTATATATGTGTGTATATAATTTTTGGTTAGGAAAATTGCACTTACATTTATTAAGAAAAAATAAATGACAAAAATAGTATATATAGCATGCTCTAACTTTAAGGAATTTTTTATTTATAGTCTCTAATATTTTTAGTGATTGTATAATGCTTTACAGGAGAAAATTAAGGTTAATTAATAATTGAATGTTTTTCTCTTGTCCTTGCAGGGAGATTCCATGGAGCTAGAAATTTGGTGTCTTGAAATGAATGAAAAGTAAGTGCTTCTGTGCCAGACTCCTTGGTTGTGGTGAGGTTAAAATGATGACATCATGCCAGGCGTGGTGGTGCACACCTTTAATCCCAGCACTTGGGAGGCAGAGGTGGGCAGATCTTTGTGAGTTCAAGGTCAGCCTGGTCTACATAGTGAGTTCCAGGAGAGCTGGGGCTACAGGGAGACCCTGTCTCAAAAAGACCAAAAAAAAAAAGATGACATCATGTGAAAGCAGGGCTTTGTTTTTTAGCCACAGGCATTCTGACTATTTGGCAGAGCCAGTAGGCTTTGCTGTGATTAGCTTCATAGTTGGCGTCCAGCCTAGGCACAGACATGACCTTCAGAGGGAGTATCAGTCCAGAGTGACTCGAATACCAGAGGGAAAGGAACAGCCGAAGAAACTGAAAGTATTTGTTGTTTTCCCAGAGTATAGCTCATTCTCTGATTAAATCCCTTGTGAGCTCACGTGGTATGACTGTCCTGTGTTGTCTTTTCTGTGAGGCAGCCATCCAGTAAAATCTCCCCACACTACTCTTTTTGTACACTGTTAGTGATGGATGGGAATGCATGTTATCTACTCCCAATTTCTTCTCCACAGTAGAATAATTTATCTCCTGCCTGAACCTTCAGTGAAGTACCTAGGAAAATTGAGGAACTATGAACCCATCCAAAGAAAAATCTTAGTGATAAGTATATGTGGTGTGGGCATTTGTTTTGTTTTGTTTTTAAGACAGTCTCTCTATAGCCCCAACTGGCCTAGAACTCACTATGTAGACCAGGCTGGCCTTAAGCTCAAAAGAGACCTACCTACCTCTGCCTCCCAAGTGCTGGGATTAAAGTCATGTGCAACCATACCCAGCTTTGTTCTTCTTAAAGAGAAAGCAATTGACAGGTTATGCTCCAAAATTTTTGTACCAAATAGATTTTTTTTTTTTTCGGTCTCTTTGAGACAGGGTCTTCTTGTAGCCCTAGCTGTCCTGGAACTCACTATGTAGACCAGGCTGGCCTTGAACTCACAGAGATTCGCCTGCCTCTGCCTCCGGAGTGCTGGGATTAAAGGTGTGTGCCACCACGCCCAGCCCCAAATAGATTTTCCTGTATAAAAATAGGTACTTTATATGACAATACCTTGAAAATAAGCATGTTGAGTATAAGTTCAATATTGATGCATTGTTTTTTTTGGGGGGGGGCACATGTCTTGTTTTGTTGGTTTGGTTTTGTTTGTTTTTTGAGCTGACCTAGAACTCACTGTGTAGACCAAGCTGCCTTGATTTCACAGAGATCTGCCTGCCTTTGCCTTTTGAGTGCTGAGATTAAAGACCTGTGCCACTATGCCTGGGTCCATTGTTTTTAAATATATTGCTTTATTTCTTAGACAGTTGCTTCAAAAGTAGGGGATGAAAAATGGGCCAACAAAATGGCTCAGCAGGTAAAGGCACTTGCCGCTAAGTCTGACAACATGAGCTCCATCCCTGGGACTCTGGGGCCCATGTGGTGGAAAGAGAGACCTGACTCCTAAGGTTTGTTTTTTGACCCACATCCGTGTGCCACAGCACACGCACATATGCATGCACACACAAATTTTTTTTTAAGTAGATAAAAGCATTTTGGGTAATTTTGATGCTCAGCTGTGTCTGAAGAAATAAAACTTTGGTTTACATCACTGTGTTGACAGAAAGCTCTAATGGCATCTTCGGAATGTGTTTTACAGTTCCAGCATTTCATAGGATATACTGTCTTTGTGCTCCTCAGGTGTGATAAAGAAATCAAAGTATCCTACACTGTATACAACAGACTGTCACTGCTGCTGAAGTCTCTTCTTGCTATAACAAGGGTGACTCCAGCCTATAGACTCTCCAGAAAACAAGGGCATGAATACGTAATATTGTACAGGTAAATAGCAGGGTGTGGATTTACTCCTCAGACTGTTCGAGTTGTGCACTGCCTGACTGCCATTCAAGTGTCCTGGGATTATGCTTTTGGATAGGTCGTTGATTGGAGTATTAATGCTGTAGCTTTGCAGCCTCCCTCATGAAGCTCAGCTTTCCAGAGCCACTGGCCTTCTGTCCTTTTGACTCTGCAGTCATGGAATGGATGCTGATGTTGCAGATACCCATCTCAAAGCTGGAAAAGGAGCTTAAGATTTTTAAAGCAAGGTTGGGGGCTGGGGAGATGACTCAATGGTTAAAGTACTTGCCATGCAAGTGTTTAGGAACAGAGTTTGGATCCTCAGAACCCACGTAAATGCCAGGTATTAGTGAATTCTGGGTTCAATTGAGAGACCATGCCTCAAAGAGGTAGAAAGCAATTGAGGAAGACTCCTGATGTCAACCTCAGGCCTACACACAGAAGTGCATGTGTGCTCATACACATACATGTGCCCACATTCTTGCTAACACAGATACACAACACATTCATATGAGAGAAAGAAGAACAAAAAGCAAAGTGAGCTTTACCAGGCATTCTAGTGCATGCCTTTACTCCTAACCCTTGAGAGGTGAAGGCAGAAGGATCAGGAGTTCAAGGTCAAGTTTGAGACCAGCCTGGACAAAACAGGAAAGCCAGGGCTTCTGAATCACCCAAGAATCTTTTATGTTAATGTTGAGCTATGGGTTTTAGCCTTTGACTTAAATGTAAAGCTGACTTTGAAGAACTAGTATACTTACTTAGTATGGAAGGACTAAAGAGATTTAACCAGTTATATTGAAACAATCGCCTGCCTGAGAATACTTAACCAATCATCCTTACCTTTCTTAACAATAGCCTAACAAACTTACGTCAACTTTTCCATTTATAGTAAATTTCTACTATAGTTTTCCCAGGTATCAAGTTAAGCATTCCATTTGAAAATTACTAGAATTTGCCAGATGTGGTGGCACATACATATCTTTTAATCCCAATAGTCAGGAGGCAGAGGCAGGTGGACCTCTGTGAGAGCCAGGCAAACCTGGTCTACATAGCAAGTTGCAGGCCAGCTGGGGCTAAAAGGAGAGAGACCCTGTCTCAAAAAAAAGAAAAAAAGTATTTCTTGCTGTATTAGTTTCTTGTTGCTGTAACCAGATATCTTACAAGAAGCAAGTTAAGGGTGGGTAAAGTATGCATGTATTGCCTGCATGTAGGTAAGTGCACCCATGTCATGCAATGCCTGCAGAGGTCAGAAGAGGCTGTTGGATCCCCTGAGACTGGAGTTACAGACAGTTGTTAGCTGCCATGTGGGTGCTGAGATTCGAACCTGGATCTTCTGCAAACATAACCAATGTTCTTAACCACTGAGCCATTTCCCTAGCCTCTTCATTTCTTAATGTAGCCATCTTTTTAAGTGTCTTTGTGCCATTGGCTTAATTAAGGTGGCATTAATGCTCCATCAAAAGGATTATTCATGCCAATAAGTGAGGCTTGTTTAGTTTTTTTCTACATGTTTTTCTTGTAGAGAATATAGAATCAGTTATCATTTCATTGTCTTTTATCCCTACAGGATTTATTTTGGGGAAGTTCAACTGAATGGCTTAGGAGAAGGTATGTACATACTAAGGCCAGAGAATATTTGGAGTGTTAAGAACTGTACTAACCTCAGTGGTCAGCTCAGTTACTATTTGGAATGATACATAGCTTTCTTTATATTGTATATATCATAGCTTCAAAATATATAATAAGGTAAGGAGAAGATAAGAAGGCAGGTCAAAGGCTGGACGTGTAGCACATACCTTCAATCCCAGAACCCAGAAGACAAAGGCAGGTGGATTTCTGTCAGTTCTAGGTCAGCCAAGGCTATATAGTGAGGCCCTGCCTCAAAAAGCAAGCAAAAAAAGACAGGTAATAGTCCAAGGAACTAGCAGGATTGATCATGTAATTTTTCCTAAGTTCTAGTACGAAGTCAATGGTCATTCTTTGTCATTACCGCCCACCCCTTCTGAGAATTAAACCTAGGCCCCATGCAGGCTAATCAAGTACTCTACCACTGAGCTATACACCCAGGCTTTTTCTTGTTTGTTTTTTGTTGTATTTGGTTTTGGTTTTGTGTCTTTGAAGCAGTTTTACCTGGAAATACTGTGTTTCCTTTGCCAACATTGGATCAATATAGAATAAATTGAAAGTGGGAAATACAAGAAATTGAAGCTGCCTCACTCAAAGTGCTAAGTGACTGATACCATCAATTGTACAACAGGCCCACTCGGGGCTGTGTCAGCTGTCTCTGGAAAAAAGTTAATACTTTCCCTCTTTTCCTAGGCTTCCAGACAGTTCGTGTTGGAACAGTGGCCACCCCTGTTGGCACCATCACTCTTTCTTGTGCTTATAGAATTAACTTGGCATTCATGTCCACCAGGTGAGGAGTTGGTTTGGAATCCAAAAGAACTCTTCAAGGATGTCAAAGCTCCTGCCTTCCCCTAAAGCTCCAAGGCTAAATCTACAGTTCACTTTGCTGAAAGCAACCTTTTCCAGAAGAATGCAATTGGGAGAGAGCACTGCTGTCACACTGGAGAATTTGAATGTCCCAGAGCCAACCTGTCTAGAGTGTATAGTCTGTAGCTTATATTTAGAGATTGCAATGTTAAGGCTTTGGTAGACCTGTAGTAGCTGTGAAGTGAGGGACCCTCTGAGGACTAGAAGTGGGCTGGGAAGGAATTCTAACAAATACTGCAATGTGCTTATTGCATTACAGGCAATTTGAGAGGACCCCACCTATCATGGGGATTATCATTGATCACTTTGTCGACCGTCCCTATCCCAGCTCCTCTCCCATGCACCCCTGCAGTTACAGGTGAGGAATGTGAAAGGTGCTCTCCCAAACTGTGGCTAGGTGAAAGCATCCACTTACCTTGTGCGTAGACATGAAGAGGCTAGTTTCCCTTCTTGCTGCTGCCTGTTAGGTACATGAAGACTTTGGGTATGTAAAATGTCTTAGGATATGATGGGTGTTTGGATCTGAATGGCAGTGATGTCACTTTCTTCCATAGCAACTTATTTGGAAGCCACAAGAGCAACAGTTACTTGTGGAATATGCTGGGCAAATTAAATGGTTTTCAGGTTGCCATCTAGCTTTATGAACTGCCTGAAACTTCTTGACACAACTTCCAGCCTGTGAACTTTCTGACATTGGCTGCCATGACCATAGAATTCATTGTTTCTCTCCTCCCCACTTTAGAACTGGTGAGGATGCTGGAGTAACATACCCATCAGTGGAAGATTCTCAAGAAGTGTGTACCACCTCTTTCTCCACCTCTCCTCCCTCCCAGGTAGGGAGAAAAGGGTTGTGGGCTGGTATACATAGTATCCATGTGGGCCTTAGGAATGTTGTCCTATAATCCTACAGTATTAGCTATAATTCCTTTTGGTGTTACGATTGTTCTAAAGGGGTTATTTACAGGAGTGACATAGAGCTTTATTCAGCAGTTAATAGTGCTTGCCTTTAGTCTAAATGCATTCTGACATCAGAGAAGCATTCTAACCTTTATGTGTTGATTTAGTAGCTCTTTTCTTATTGAGTAATAAATTTGGTTTCATAAAAAACAGCCAAAAATTATTTAGTATAAAAAGCCAGTAAAACACACACACGCACAAGCATGCATGCACCCAGTAGCACTGTTTTTCTTTCTTTCTGTCCACATTCTCCATCCACACCTTTCAGCCATTAATTTTTCCACAAGTCAGTCTGTAGTGTTAGACCCAGTTTCAGTAAAACCTAGGCCGGGAAGCTGCCAGCTTCCTCAGAGGAAGCATCTCCACAGTCTTTTGTGATGGGCATAAGTTGAGACTATGACAGGCAGTCAAGAGTTCCACCTGACTAAATTTTGGGATCATTTTGATTCCAAAGTCCTTTAACTTCTACCTCATTGCCACCAGCTCCATGCCCATCACAACTGTTCTCTTTGACTTCTTTAGGGTTTGGGGTTTTGTTTTTTGAGATAGTCTTGCTATGTACTCTTGGCTGGTTTATAACTCTCTGTGTAGACCTGGCTGACTTAGATCTACTCCAATTCTGCCTTCCTTTATTTAGTATTGGTTTTTCTGAGACCAGGGTCTCATTATGTAGCTTTGGTTGGCCTGAAACTCACTATGTAGATCAGTCTGGCCTCAAACTCACAGATCCCCCTGGCTCTGCCTCCTGAGTGTTGTAATTAGGGCACGTGACACCATGCTTGGCTTATTTATATTTTTTAAAGTTCAGGTCTCATGTAGATAAGGATTTAAACTCATTATATAATGAGTGGCCTCAATACTGACCCTTCTATGTCTACATTCCAAGCGCTAGAATTACAAGTATGTGCCACCAAGTTTTTACTTTCCTTTAAACTGGCTGAGACTCTCCCTTTCACCATCTTATTGCAAGAAGCTCTCTGTACATTTTAGTTTTCTGTGCTGTTTTAATTATGAAAAAAAATTTTTAATCCTGGAGGCTCCAGGTTTACTCCTCAATGAGAAAAAAGAAAAAGAAAAGGCCAGGTGTGGTGGTACACACATTAGTCCCAGCACTGGGGGGCAGTGGGGCAGAGGCAGGTAGATCTTAGTGAGTTCAAGGCTATCTGGTCTACATAACCAGTTCAGAGTTCAGGCCACCCAGGACTACATATTGAGACCTTGTCTCAAAAAAAAGGCGGGGGTTGGGGCAGGAAAAAAATACTTTGAACCTCAGTGATAGAACAGAGACAGAAAATCATTCACTGTGCGCTCTCCTCTGTTACTATTTCTCCTTCATTTAATTCAGTGACTCTGAAGGTTCAGCAACTTCTGCTGGAGCTTTGCTAGAGTCCAGTCAATACATGTTTTGTTTTCGTCTTTTTGAAATAGGGTCTCCCTGTAGCCCCAGCTGGCCTGGAACTGCTGTGTAGACCAGGCCGGCCTTGAACTCACAGAGATCTGCCTGCCTCTGCCTCCTGAGTGCTGGGATTAAAGGCTACGCCCAACTTAAGTCCAGTTAATACCTGTTAATGGGATGTTTTGTTTTGCCAACAAAATTGGGATTTTTGGATCATTTGGTCATAAAGACATGAAAATAGCTATGACTCTGAACTTACTACTATACCCTACACACCTTTGTCCAATTCTAAGCATTGATTAGCTAATTGGTCAAATTTAAAACTGAAGCCTAGTGTGGAGAATGCCTATAATCTCAGTACTCAGGAGGCAGAGGCAAGTGGATCTCATGTCTTGTAGGTCAACCTAGTCTATATAGTGAGACCCTGTCTCAAGGGGCAAAAACCCCCCACCACATTTAAAGTTAAAACAACAGTGGTTGGTGCACACCTTTAATCCCAGCACTCAGGAGGCAGAGGCAGTTGGATCTCTGTGAGTTCAAGGCCGGCCTGGTCTACACAGCAGTTCCAGGCCAGTTAGTGGCTACATAGATTGTTTTCCCTCATTTGTTACGTTAGCTGTTGGCCTTCCTAAATTATATTCAGCTGGCTGAAGTAACAAGACCCCAAATAATCACTATGCTTATAAGTAGTTTAGAAATCTTGAGAGTTGAAAATGCCCAACTTTTACTCCCAAGCTCTCTCACACCATAAGACTATAAGAACATGCTACATGCACACACACCCTGCACCCCTACTCATCCCTAGGATATAGGAAAGTGTACGCCTGAGCTTGTTAACATTCTGGCCAACAAATGTCAGCTGTTTAAACCTGTCCCTGCAGCCTTTGGATTACCTGATCAAGCCCAGCATCCTTCCTCCTCCATTGCTCACCTCGCTCCTGCTCCCAGACCCTTCCTGCTTGAAAGCTTTTCTCTCACTTCCTCCTACTCCTTTTCAGCTAATGACAGACTAATGCTTGGTTCAGGTTTCTCTGTTTTGCCAAGTCATTACCACTTAAGTCAGTCTGGTTTTCCAGCTGCCTGTCAAGGAGACAGGCTTGCAGGGTGTGCCCTGGGACCCTCCAAGCTGCGGCTTTGGGAAGCCAGCATGCACTCTTCTCCCTGCCTCACTCTCTACCTTCTGTCCAGCCTCTTACTGCTGCCCCTTCTGGGAGGTTTTATTTTGTTTTTTTTTTTTGTTTTTTCTTTTTTCACTTCTTTCTCAAGTCCCTTTTCTTTTTTTCTTGTTTCTCCTGTTTCTATGTGTGTCTGTGCACAGTGTGTGTTTACTGTCACAAAGGCACATTTTCAGACCCCTACTCCTGTGGTGACGGACACTCTGAGGGTCCCCATGGCAGGACTGGCCTTTTCCCATCAAGTGAGTTCATATTGGGAAGAAGGGGATTTCATCAGGTAGCATCTTTGTATTTAAGAAATGAAAGTAAGGCCGGGTGTGGTGGCATACGCCTTTAATCCCAGCACTCGGGAGGCAGAGGCAGGCGGATCTCTGTGAGGTCAAGGCCAGCCTGGTCTACGTAGTGAGTTCCAGGACAGCTGGGGCTACAGGGAGGCCCTGTCTCAAAAAGACCAAAAAAAAAAAAAAAAAAAAAAAGAAAGTAAAGTACAGACTATAGTCCTTTAGATGTCCCCAACTGTTCTGTGGGATTATTTTGAGGCTTGGTAATTGATTTTAACAGGACACAGCCCGGCAATCCAAAATAGGGATTTTTATTTGCCCCTCCTCCTTCCATTGATGTGAAAAATACGTGGAGTTATTTATATCAGATTTCCAAGTAAACAGTCCAAGACTGGTAGTCTTTCTTTTTTTTTTTTTTCAATATAAATAGGAACCTTCCATACCCAGGGGGGTGATGGAGGGTGTGATTAGAGAAGATGGCTTCAGTTTCAAAGGGGCCTCAAGGACAGAGGAGAAAATAGAATGACTTTGGAAAAACTGATGGGTTTGGCTCCAGATTCAGTCCAGGGTTGTGCTGGGGAGATCTGTTGGGCTGAAAACATGAGCATTTAACTGAGCCCCTGGGAACTGGGGGACCAGGACCCTACTGGAGGACTTTGAGAGGCCCCAGAGCTGGGGATCCCAATTCCAGAGCAAACAAGTCTCTGTGTTTGCTTACTGAAAAAGGCCTGGTCCACTCTTGGTTCTCCCCTGCACTGTGGGCCTTTGGACTGGAATCAGTTCCCACCTCTTTTGTGAGCTTCATCACTGGTCATGTGCTAGGATTATCTGTTTTTTCCTACCTTTCCTCTGCCCCTCTCTTTTTCTCTTGCTCAGCTCTCAAGCTCTCGCCTTTCCTGTCAGCCTGCTGGCCTGGGCCTTGGATCAGCTGACTTGGCTTACCCAGTAGTGTTTACTGCTGGCTTAAATGCTACACACCCTCACCAGGTACCTTTTAAGATCGGGGAGGAACATGGGCTTTCCAGGGCTGCCTCCCCTGCCCAGGGGCATAGAGAATGGTTGGAAGCAAAGCTCTTTGGTAACTTTGGAAGACTAAAGTGACTTTCTGAGAGGAAGGAAGGGAAAGACTTCCCAAGGGTTTCATTCCCTCTCTTCCCTCCTCCCTCTGTAGTCACCATGCATGTCTTCCAATAGCCACATCCCAAGAGGATTAAGAGCCAGGAGGCTGCCCACCTGCTGGTGGCATTGGTGACGGGAAAGCTCATGAGGTTCACCTGCCTGGCACCTCCATAGTTCACTGTGTCTTTCCATTCCCCCAAAGCTGATGGTTCCTGGGAAGGAAGGTGGGACACCCCTTGCTCCCAACCAACCTGCCCACGGTGCCCAGGCTGACCAGGAGAGACTGGCAACCCACACCCCTTCTGATGGGACCCACTGTGCCGTCACACCCTCCAGCAGGTGAGTTCTCTTTCATGGCTCTGCCACTGCTGAGGCCAGCCAGGGGCCTGGATGTCGTGACATAACACCAGCTCAGGCTTGGCATTTGTTTTCTCAGTGGGAAAGCCTAAAGTTCTTTGGTAAGAGTCTGACATTACAGCTGATATGTAAGGAAGGTGGCCTGGGGCATAGCTACTATATAACAGGAAACAGCAAGGCTGATTTTCTTCCCTTCCTTTATTTTCCTCCATGTTCACTGATGAGAGAGAAGAGAGAGAGAATGAGAATGAATACATGCACAGGTATGCCACGGCCCATGAGTAAAGATTAGGAGATGACTTTCAGGGGAGTCTCTCCTCCACATGGGCTCCAGAAATTATACTCAGGTCATCAGGCTTGGTGACAAGTGCCTTTACCCACTGAGCCATCTTATTGACCCCTAAATTTGGAGCTTTATTTTGTGTCTGTGCATGTGGGTGTGTACATACAGTAACATACATATAGAAGTCAGAAGACAACAGAGTTGGTTCTCTTCAACCATGTAGGGTCCCAGGGATCAAACTTGGGTCATCAGGCTTGGCTGGCAGCTCCTTTACCTGCTGAGCCATCTCACTGGCCCCAGGGCTGGGTTCTTGCCACCTGAATCCAAGGAAGAGGTGGTAAGATGTTTCTCTTACCCCAAGATTCCTTCTTTTGGAGTCAGAGTTTCCCAAAGACCTGAGTCCTGAAGTCTAGGGCCACTACATGTCTGTTGTGGTTAGGGTTGGTTTGCCTTTTTCTGCTCAATAAAAGCTTCATGGAGACCCTTTGGAAATGCCTGTTTCTCCACATTTAAAAAAGAAGTCAAATCTTTGTCTTTTTTTGATTGTCAGTGACACATTCCTTGAAATACATGCTTTTAATCCTAGCACTTGGAAGGCAGAGGTAGGCAGATCTCTGTGAGATCGAGACCAGCCTGCTCTACATAGTGAGTTCCAGACTAGCTGGGTCTACAGAGAGACTCTGTCTTTAAAAATAATGATTAAGACATTGATTTGGTAGGAACTGAGAGTTCCCATATTTCTACTCTATGAAAATCAATTGTCCCCAGATTTTGAAAGATGAGAGGGCTGAGGTATAGCTCAGTAGTAGTGCATGCTTAGTTTTAGGTGCCAAGCCTAACTCTGGGTCATCCCCAGCACTGCAAAGTGAACAAACAACCTCAGGGGTTAAGAAATTGGTTTGAGGTCACCTAGCTCAGAGTGTGGCTGGTGGACAGCCTGCACCCTGACTGAAAAGCTCCTGCTCCTTCCTGGTACTCTCCCTTCCCCTCCTTTGATTTGGAAGGCCCTAGGATAATGAGATTGTCTTGCCTCCTTGCCCCCTGAACTTTCCCATTGGAGAAATACCTGATATATTCTTTTCATTCCCATTGTGGATTGTTGGACAGGGAGTTGTTCAGAAAGATTTTGTGTGTGTGTCAGGAAAGTAGTTTATTCTATTCCTGGTTTTTTGAGCTTCAATCCTTTCTCATCCCCACCCATTACATGATCAAAGGAAGATCTATTAGTCATTTTACACTCCAGTTTTTTGATCCTGGACTCCTAGGGATGTTTAGGAATAGATGAAGACAGAGGGCCCCAGATGAGGCTCTGAGGTACAGATCATAAGAACTCAGTGCTGGCGTTCTTTGCTGGAATCTAGACGCTACCTTGCAGTCCTCTGGCCAATCTTGAGCCCCTATATTTGGCTGAAGGACGTGTGTGTGTGTGTGTGTGTGTGTGTGTGTGTGTGTGTGTGTGTTTCCGTGTGTCTCCTTCAGAGTGTCCATATCCTTTGAGACAGGATCTCTCATTGGCCTGGAGCTCACCAATTAATGTAGATTGACTGGCTAGCAAGCCCAAGGAATCTGCCTGTCTCTACCTCCTTAGTGCTGGGATTACAAGCAGAAGCTATTGCTTCTGGCAATTTACATGGGTTCTGGGGTTTGAACTCAGATCCTCATGCTTACACAGCAAGCACCTTCCCTACTGAGCTCTCTAGCCCCAAATGACCTTTCTTGTCCCCTGCTGCCTACATGAGAGCAGCTGAGTTGAATGGAGGATGAGTGGCCCCGTGTAGAGGGGAGGACACATGGGAGGAATGCAGAGAACAGGAGCCCAGGCAGTCCCCAAGAGTGGAAAGATCCGGCTAACCCTCAAATCCAGGACTCCTGACTTTGAGTAATGGTAGTGTTTTGCTGTGAGGTAAGGCTTTTGGGTTTTGGTAGGTAAGTTGGTTGGCTGGTTTTCATGTTTTTGAGATGGGGTCTCACTATGTAGACCTGGCTGACCTCGATCTCACAGAGATCTGCCTGCCTCTGCCTCCTGAGTCTTGGAATTAAAGATGTGCCACCATGCCCAGCATGTGAGGTAAGGTTTGAATTAAACATTGTACCATAAACTATACAGTCTTACAGTATTTTTAGATAATCCAAAAAAAAGAGCTAAAATTTGAGGTTTGGTTATATGACTAATAACTAACCTGCTGTTATGTAGAGAATTGCTCACTCTGTGACTGCTGTATTGTTGGTAACTGGTGTTTATTGCTGGCATTTCAGGTCAGATTTTTGGGGGGGGGGTTCTTTTTGAGACAGGGTCTCCCTGTAGCCCCAGCTGTCCTGGAACTCACTATGTAGACCAGGCTGGCTTTGAACTCACAGAGATCCGCCTGCCTCTGCCTCCCGAGTGCTGGGATTAAAGGTGTGCACCACCACGCCTGGTTTGTCAGGTCAGATTTTATGTAAGCTTTACACCATTACAATATGAAGTTTCATTCACATGTACAAACTTTCAGTTCTAGCAAGTACAATCTGCTCCCAAACCAAGAGCCAGGACAATGGTGGCAGCCAGACCTCCTGCTCAGGCTGCAGCTCCCCAGAAGGTGCACTGACTGGGGAATGAAGTTCTGGGATTTGAGAAGGAGCACCTACTTTCCCTTTCTTTTCTAGTGAGGATACTGAGACTGTATCCAACAGCAGCGAGGGACGGGCCTCACCCCATGATGTCTTGGAGACTATCTTTGTCCGAAAAGTGGGAGCATTTGTCAATAAGCCCGTCAACCAGGTGACTGTTCTACAGTTGCCACCTGTGTGGATGTCCGTGTTCTTAGAGTGAGACCCTGTGGGCAGTAACCTATGGGGTTACTGAAATTGCTTTCAGAATTGTGTATGTGTGTGTGTGTTGTTGTCATTGTTGTCATCATTGTTTGAAGAGGTTTGATAACTTATGGCCCCTTTAGAGACTAGACTCTGTAATTCAAAAACCCTGTACTATGCCGTTGCCTCAGCCTTACCCTGAAATGGAAGTTCCTCCCCAGTGAAACAATGTTCCTTAGTTACTGTGGCTCAAGAATCGTAGGGTTCCTGCTCTGAGCATATGTGACTGGGGACAGGGAGGTGAGGAGGCCAGGGCAACATGGGCAGCCTAGTTGTGGGAACCTGCTAGACCTCTGGGCTTCTGGCAGCCTATAAGGACCACATGTGCTAGGAGAGGGGCTGGCAGGAATGTTTCTCTTCTTTGTCTCTTTAGGTGACCCTGACAAGTTTAGACATACCCTTTGCCATGTTTGCACCCAAGAATTTGGAGCTGGAGGATGCCGATCCTATGGTGAGCTCCCTAGTTTCCAGTTTCCAGTAGATGGTACAGTAGTTGTCCTTCTGGGCCACAGTCACCAAGTCCTTCACCAGACTGAAACCCGGGCTGCTTTGCTTATGAATTTGCAGCCAGCATTATATTTCTTTTCTTCTTTGTTTTGTTTCGAGATAGGGGCTTACTGTATAGCCTAGGCTGGCCTGGAACTCTTTGTAGCCCAGGCAGCCTCCAACTTGAAATTCTCCTGCCTCAACCTCCCAAGTGCTCGGATTACAGGCGTGCACCACTGTGGGCAGTGATGTATATTCTGTTCACAGAGCCAGCCCTGACTGTGCCTTATTCTGGATTAGGTGAATCCCCCAGACTCTCCAGAGACCACATCTCCTCTCCATGGCAGCCTGCACTCAGATGGCTCCAGCGGGGGCAGCAGTGGCAACACCCATGATGACTTTGTCATGATTGACTTTGTAAGTCACCACCACTGCCCTTGTCCTTTGCTGTCCCCTGGAAAATAAACCTAGACACATCTATTACCTGGTGTGCAGGCTGAACTGGTAACTGGGAAAATTATTTGGAGGCCTGCGAGCAGCAAGTCATTTAGTGCCATGTCTTTGGTTGAAAGTCAGCTATATATGGGTTTCCAAAGGCCCTTTGCTTAGCAGCCGTATGAAGGCAAAGGACATAAGCCTAACGGGGGAGGAGTATCACCAGAATTAGAAGTCTGTAGTCTAGAAGAGCCAGATATAAAGATTACTCTCCCTGAAATGAACCTGGAAGACATGTCTCGCTTAATTCCTATAGTCTCATTTGTAGCTTATTTCTTTGATTGTCCTTCATGATTCAAAGACAACCTAAACTGAGTCTGTCTTGTTTTTGAAGAAGCCAGCTTTTTCTAAAGATGACATTCTTCCGATGGACTTGGGGACCTTTTACCGTGAATTTCAGAATCCTCCTCAGCTGAGCAGCCTCTCCATAGATATTGGAGCTCAGTCCATGGCTGAAGACTTGGTATGTAATCCCCTTCCCCACCACAGCCCCTCCTCTCCCTTCCTATCCCCATTTCATGGCCATTAATATGCCACAGGCCTAGAACTTTATTCCTGTTACTCCATTCTCCCCTTTGCCTCACATCTTCCCCGAAAACGGAAATACTTTTAGCTAGTTTTGCCTCTTGATCACACTTGACATGTGCATGGTACCTGGCAGTCTTCTGGAACTGGTTTGAGCTCAGCTCCTTGTTGCACTTTAAATTTTTTTTCCCATTTTGTGTGTGTGTGGGGGGGAACATATGCAGCAGGCTGTGGTACCATGTGGAGGTCGGAGGACAACTTGTAGGAGTTGGTTTTCTCCACTATGTGAGTGGGTCCCATGACTGAAAACAGGTTGTCAAGCTTGACAGTGAGCACCTTTACCTACTGAGCATCTATTTGGGTCCCAAAAATTATTTGAGACAGGGTCTCACTCTGAAGCTCAGGCTGGCCTCGAACTCAGATCTGCTTCCCAAGTGCTGAGATTAAAGATGTGTGTGGAAGTCAAAGGACTACTTTGTGGTTTCAGTCTGTCCTTCCACCTTTACCTGGGTTCCTGGAATTAACTCCAGTTGTCAGGGTTACTTGGCAAGTGCTCTTACCTGAGGAACCATCTCAGCAGCCCCCCTCTATACTTTCTTGGTGTTAAGCACACTGTCTGGGCCTGTTGTCTCCTGCTAGCCTAACAGCCATGTGCTTAGCAGGGGGCACACAGGCCCTGGGTAAGGGTCTGTATGCTTGTCCTCCTTGGAAAGCTCTTCCTGCATCCAGCCCTTCTCATGCTCTCCTAAGGTTGAGCATAGGCACATTTCTGCTGAGGGCATTTCTTTTTTCCTGCATCTGAGGTACAAACCACAGACGCAGGTTCTTTTGCCTTGAATGGCAAGGTCTCACTATTTGAGGTTAGGACTGCTCCCTGCAGAGGTTAGAGGCCCTAGGAAGTGCTGTCCTTGATTTGATTTAGCAGAAAACCATGCTCAGCAGTCACAGCATAAGAATAATATTGAGTATTGGCTTTAATCAGGACTGTCTAAACACCAAACTGTGTGTATGTGTGTGTGTGTGTGTGTGTGTGTGTGTGTGTGTGTTGTATGGGGAACAAACCCTGGGCTTAATGTATTAGGCAAGTGCACTGCCTCTGAACTGCAGTTTTCTAAGTGCTTTAACAGCCTTATAAATTAGGTTTTCTTACTGTCCCACTTTGCAGAAAGGAAAGCCTATGATTCAGTGACTTGGCTGTGGTAACAGAGAGTCAGGCAAAACTGTTTTTATCCCGAGCTTAGCCCTCTGTTCACTGGCCTGTATTCAGAAGGAAATGGGGTCCAAGAGTTCCCAAATATGATCCCTCGGCCAGTACTTTTCCAGGCGTGCTTTTGTTCTTGGCAGCTTCCTCCAGACTTGCCAGTGTCCAAGCCACTTTAGGGCCTGAGGCATGCGAATCTCTACTTCTCCAGGTCCCTGTGCTTAGCCCCTGTGGAAGATCTCCCTACCATTTTAAACTTGCAGGTGTGGTTTTTGTTGTTTAGCACTGTTGGAGGCAGACTCTGTGGAGGGTCAGGTCTTCATTAGTAGCCGGCACTGCAAGAGAGGCTGGAAGTGCACAGTTCTTCCTCTGCCGCTCTTTCATTGACCCTCAGCAACCCCAGCCAGTTTAAAGATGCAGGTGTCTAGACCTCCCACAGACCTGTGTCAATCTTGCCAACACAGGGCCTTCAGATGTCCACAAAGTACAGAAAAGAGTCCTTTTTAAACTTTCCTGGGTTCACAGAGCTCTAAACCCACGGTTTCACTCTAGTGTCTGCTAGCTCCATACTAAAGATAGACAAAAGATAGGATTTCGTGTTTAATTTCTCATTATCTTCCCATTTCATGGTCGATCTCGAGTGTAGCCCACTTGGATTCCTCAGGCTACTTGGCAACTCCATACCCCCCCACAAAACCTTGAGGACCTGACCCCTTCCTTGTCCCAATGTCTGCTCAGCTGTCCTACCTTCTGTTCTCCCAGCCTGGTGCTGCCCAACCAAGATGAGCTCTTTCTCTTGCCACTGCAAGGCCTGGTTGAGTAAGTCTTCCTCCTCTGCTTGGTACAGGACTCGTTACCTGAGAAGCTGGCTGTGCATGAGAAGAACGTCCGAGAATTCGATGCCTTTGTTGAAACCCTGCAGTAAAAATGTCCTCAGTACCAGCAGCAAACCTTTTTTGTGGTCCCAGCAGATAGCCTCCAACTCCTCAGCTGCACCATTCTTCATGCTGCTTCTCGCCAAGTGGAGGGCAGGGCAGGGCAGTCCCCACAGGGACCTAAGAAGTCTCTGCTCCTGGACCTCCTGGAGACTCTGGCAGCAGTCAGGCCCAGTGCCTGCCTTTGGGAGGACTCATGCTCTGGCCATGGAGACGGAAGCTGGCTCTAAGAAAAGCCTCAGCAGGGCCATCTGTGTTTCCACCCATCCTCAGCTGCCTCACAAAGGGTGTCATCCAGTTCCTTCTGCTGTTGGCCTCCTGTCTGGTCTACCCTGCAGCTGGCCCCTGACTGCTTGTCCTTCCCATCAACCATCTGCCATTCCAGCTGGTGGTCAGGATGCTGGGCAAGTCAGAAAAAGGAGACCATGCTGAGAGGAGGAGGGCTGTGTTCCTGAGCCACTCCCTTCCTTCCCTCTTCTTCCTTCTCCTATTTCCTCTCCCTCCTTTCCTCCCTCCTTCCCTCCTATCCTTCCATTGCTTCCCCTTTTCTCTCTTCTCACCCTCTCCCTCATGCCCTCCAGGGCCTATACTTTTGGCAGTAGAACAGGCCCACTCGCCTAAAATGACAAGGGCTCTGAAGCCAGCCACCATCTCCAGAGGTTGTGCCAGCATCTCTAAGATTATTAGTGAGAGTCACAGAAAGCTTCTCCCCCTCTCACCTTCCCAAATTACTGCTGCTTGGATATAAGATATAGTAACTATTTATTACTGTCAGAGAGATCAGATATTTTATAGAGAAAATATGTTGAGGTTAGCCGTTTCACTGGGCAGGGCCTCTTCTGGGATGGAAGCCTCCTGTGGAGGTTGTTCTCAGAATCCGTGCTACTGCTCTGAGGATCTTCCCATTGCATCAAAGGAGAAATCAAGAATGGGGCTGGCGAGGCAAAATAGCCCCCTGGAGCTGTGTGTAGAACTATACTGACATCAGGCTTCCCCTTGCACACTTGCCAGCTCCTGCTGAATGTCTTCCCTTGACACAGCCTCTGCAGAGTGACTGTCTCCATTCTGGCAGCCCAGGAAGTCTCAGGTGTGTTAAATGTGATGACTCTTCAGAGTTGGGCCACATGGATTATCCATGGGAGACCATGTGTGCCCTGCTGCTCGAGTGCTTATTCCTGAGCCTTGCACTGGACTGGGAGCTTTTCCTCTCTCCCTCTAAATCCAGGGTCTGTACATGGCCCTGGGTTTCTAAGGTGGATTGGTTCCCTATTGAGAAACCAAAGCTGAGCTTGTGGTGACTTAACCCTTCAGGTATTGTTGCTTGAGTAAGTCAAGTGCCTCGCCATCTGTCCTCTCCCAGCTGGACCACTGGCCTGGCCAAGAAGAGCCAGCCTGCCCTGTTCCTCTGGGCACCCTGGGTCCTCACTGATAGCAGCTGTTATCTCAGAGCAGGTGGCTTTCAATTGCTTGTTAGAAAACTGCATGTAACACTTCCCACCTATGAGGCTGACCTCTGAGACACCCTTCCAACCTTTGTCAATGTACTTTGGAAATAAGAGCTACACTTCAAAATGTATTCAAGAGATTTCCAATAAATTTTTTTCTGTACATAGTTTCCTATTCTGCATGTTGTCTAGCCCTAGCCCACCATTTGCACCTCTGTACAGAACTGGACCACCAATGGGCTCCATGGAGAGGGAAGAATGGGGTCTGCAGTGTAGAAAGTCCTCAGTCTGGGAGGCTTGCTTGAGTCTTGGGAGCTTAAGTGCCTGACAACCTTGGCTTCCTAGAGCCTGTTCTTCCTTGTACTGTTTCCAGGACAGGGCCATATATTTGAATATTTGGTGACATACTGTACATGAAGGACCCTGGTAAAATTTCCATGAAGCCGGGGCTGAAGAGGTGACTCAGTGGTTAAGAGCACTGGCTGCTCTTGCAGATGACGGGTTCGGCTCTCAGCACCTACATGGTGGCTCAGAACCTTCCATAACTCCAGTTCTAGGGGATCTGGTGCCTTTTTCTGGCCTCCATAGGCACCAGGAATGCACATGGTATACTTATATACATTCAGGCAAAACACTCATACACATAAAATGAAAATGTTTAAATAATGCCAAGCATGGTGGTACGCACCTTTAATCCCAGAACTCAGGAGGCAGAGGCAGGTGGATCTTTCTGAGTTCAAGGCCAGCCTGGTCTACATAGTAAGTTCCAGGCCAGCTGGGGCTACAGGAAACACCGTCTCCAGAAACAAATATTTAAAAAAGTAAATCTTTTTAAAAATCTCCATGAAGGGTAGGCGTACCAGTTTTTTATATGTTTACATAGCACACTCACCACCCAACCAAGATGGGCTTGTCCCAGAGGGATGGACAAGTGGCAGATTGCTGCCCTGGGTCCCACAGTGGATACAGCATGGAGTGGTGGCTGATCTAGGAAAGAGTTGTGGCTGAGCAAAGCAGAGGAAGGGAAGGAAATGAGGGAAGTGACAGGAAATCAATGGCCAGTACAAGTTTGTTTTGCAACCCTGATCTGACTGAATCTAGCAAAGACAGCGAGTTCTCAGGGGGTGAAGACAAGTGGCAGAGCCCAGCAGGGTTTAGGCCTGCAACAAGTACACAAACACATACACCCTGCTCTGGTTACTGGCATCCCAACCCTGGTAAAACCAGCATCCTAATATACCTTGGGATGCTGAAGGTAGAGTCAGTGTGCCAGAGACGGAGATGGTTCTAGATGCAAAAGTGAACTGAACAATTGGTAGGTAGGCTGCCTATGCTTCCAGAACAGTCAGGCCCCAGGATAAGAATGGGACCATCAGAAAATTCTAACTTCAGCCCAAACATAGAGCTAGTCAGCCAGTAAAGGCCTTTGTAAACTACATAGTACTAACCATAATAGCAAGCTACTCAACCCCTAGGTCAAAAATGGGCCCATCACGAGTAATTCCTTTGGTTACAGTCTCCCAAAAGCAAAATGCTCAGTTGCTCCATGGTCGGCAATGTGTCTTGCTTCTTTAAAACATCTCCCTGCTGCTGAGAGACCTGTTGCTAAGACTGTTAGGCTGGCATTTGAGTAACTCAGCAGAGGCCCAACCCAGTAAACAGCCCTCCCTGTCTCTGGTTCTGCTGTTTTCCCGGATCACTGCCTTGACGTTCCAGTGTCACCCAGCTTATAGCTGGGCAGAGCTAGTGAGAAGGGAGACTCCCAATGCCTTGTGCCTTGAGGTACCTTGCCATGGGTTATATAACGGGACTCCTTTTTGCAGTTCAGGACCAGTGTTTATAACCACCATCTTAACACTGCCTGAGCTTGCAACTCTGCCTGGGCTGCCTCAGCTCAAACAAGCTAGAAGAAAAAGCAGGCCTAGCCACAGAAACCACAGTCTCCTGATTATAATAGATATACACGTGTGGAACCTGACCTTGACAGCTATGACAAGTGAAATTCTGTCCTCCTACCCTCCTAGTGGCAAACCATAAAATTGTGGTAAAATACACATAAAAGCTGAGCATGGGGGAACAAGGTTATAATATCAGCACTTAAGAGAATCACAAGTAGTTCCAGGCATGGTGGCACACATCTTTAATCCCAGCAGAGGCAGGTGGAGCTCTGTGAGTTCAAGTTCAAGGCCAGCCTGGTCTACATAGTGTGTTCCAGGCCAAAAACCACACATATGATTTACCGTATTTTTTCACTGCTGGGGATAAGACCCACATCCTTGCACATGCTAAGCAGGTGCTTTACCACTGAGCTACATCTCTATCCTAAAATTAACCATCTCTGCCTTTAAAGCAAAGCAAAATCTCAAAAGAGGGTAGGAAACCAGACCTTTTGCATTCTATGTGGCTAGGTAGCAGTGAAAAACCTTAGGCTCCCAGGCCAAGGGTGGACGTCAGGGGAGCAAAGAAAGGAAACCAGCTGCCTGTCATATGACGCTAGGCAATCACTTCACTCCAGCCTTCTGTCACACTGTTATGTACCACAGACATTATGTCTGCTCTTCAGAGGAACCGTTTTCTAAAAAAGACATAGTCCCACCAATCCTGTGACTTGCCAGTTACAGCTGGTAAGAGATGTAAGCAGGATTCAAATTATGTGACTGCAAAGCCCAACCCAGTGTCCACCACAGTTCACTCTAATTTTCTCCCCTCTGACCTCCCTTCAGACACATGACCAGATGGAATGCTGCGGGTGCAAAAATGTTGATGGTGATTTGGTGCTTCCCTGTTAGCTGGTCAGAAAGCTGGCCTCTGACCTACTCAGGTGAACAAAGAAAGGGACAAATGGTGTTTCAGATTGTGGTCTTCTGGATGTAATGTGACCCTTACTATATCAGAGCACAGCTCTGACTACACGCACAAGACCCTCAACAAGATGGCGTCTTCTGGGCTGAGGAGACAGCTCAGTAGGTAAAGTGCTTGCTGTGTAGGTTTGACAACTCAAGTGTAATCCTTGGAACCGATGTAAAAGGGGGAAGAGAAAATCCATTCTCACCTGCATGCACACACAAATAATAGATGGGGCCTTTTGAGTAGGAGGGGCATAGAAAGGGAGCAGGGTCATTAGATCATCACCTGAGTTTCAGCCCCTCTCAGCTGCACAGGATCTTGGAAGGTACTAGACTAAGTATCTAGGAGGTGGAAGATTAACTGGAGGAATCCCACCTATGCAGTTTAAAGGAAGTTGTCTCCCATGCTGGCATGAAACTCCAGCAATACAGCTGCCTCCTCACCACACCCCTGTATGTAAGCTCACTAAACTCACTGGTTTGCCAAGGAGACTTGGATGGAGCCATATTTTCTTTGGGCTTTCTTTCATTGGTGTGTCCTATCTGGGGTAACAGTCTGTTCACATTTTCCCAAAGAAAAGTAAGACAGCACATGAGGCTAGGGAGACTTCCTAAGGCCCCAACTCTCTCTCTCAACCACATGTTCCCACCAAGTTCTAAACTTCAAGGCTTTACTTCCTACACAGCCAGATGGGAGGTTTCCATTTCCATTTTTATTGAAATACAAAAAGTGCAAATGGTGAAATACATGATTGGTGCCCAGGAAGTCATGGTGAATGTGAACACTTGATTCACAGTACAAGTGGCCCCAGCTACAGACCAAGGGGGTAGGGGGCAGAAGAAAGACAAGAGAGATCCAAAAGGCCCCCCAGTAAATGGAGTGTGGGTAACACTTGATACACACACAGAAGGACAAAAGCAGAGTGGCCCAGGCTGGAGACCAGGAACTGACAGAAGCAGAAGCTCCAGGCACCAGGAGGCCTGACACACCAGTTGGTCCAGGAAAGTCCAGCAAGGTTAGGCCAGCTTCACTGTAAGACAGGTCAGTACAGACCCCCCTCACCCCAATATCAGCTCTGGAGCTGTTATGCCTGGCTACAGCTGAGCGGGCAGGGTCCCTGCAGGTACTTCCCTATTACCAGGGGCCAGAATTAAGGGAAGAGGATCACCAGGCTTTATCAGCAAGGAGTGAGGAATATCAACCATCACTGGAGTTCAGGCTTTCTGAAAGACAACAGGACCCCTAGGCCACCATACTCCCTCAAGGAGGTTGCCAAACCTAGCTAGTAGGGGCTGATCTGTTGGCAAAACCTTTTATGGGGTTTTGTGCTCCTGCCCCTCCAAGAGTTCCCAGGCAGGAGGGCAGGAGCCACCATGGATCCTGAGGCACTGAGTCACCTCTGGCAAGGACAGGGAACAAGATGACTCCACAACAGAAAGATCTACCATAGTCAGTGGCCAAGGGTCTGTACATACGAGTACACAGGGGAGGCATGGAGGCCTCAGACTGCTGTCACTGATCCCACCTGACACTAGAGATCACCCTGGGAAGAGGAGGCCCATTTCAATGGATGCTGGGATTCTGATTCTCATCATCCACATTGCCAGTCATGGCAGAACTGGCGAACAGGACTCCCTGGGGGCAATACCACTTGGGAGAGGTGGACCTAAGAGGCAGACGGGACAAGACAACTCCAGCCTCTTGTCATTCCTTGGCTGTGAAATCACCCAAGGTTGAGTTGTTAGTGGGGAAGGCAGCCACAGGGTACTTGCATCCAAGCCAACACATGGCTGGACTTAACAAAAAGCAAAGCAACTGATCAGAAAGAAAGACGCCTCAGCACAATCAGGGCAAGTCAAGAAGCTTAGCTATCCATTTCCTAGCAATCAGGAAAGAGAGGACCAGCCCCAGCTACCAGCCCAGCCGGCAGTGATTTGGTCATCCATAGTTGCCAGGAAACAAGCAGGAAAAAGTAAAAGGGTTACTGGGGCTCAGCCTTCTCCAGCTAGAAGAACCAAGCCTAGTTCTGGAAAGCCCAGCAACCAGACAGGCAGTGAGAAGTGTAAGGCGACGAAAACATCTTATGGTAACAGAGGCCTTCAGGGCCAGTGAGGTGGGCTGGACAGAGGGAGAGGAGGGGCTACCCAGTCAGTGGGTTCCAACTTCCATCTCCTAGGGCTTCAGGGTCCCTTCCTAGGCAGGCACTCCAGGCTCCAGTAAGGCTGATGCCAGGAGGATGAGTCCAACAAGGGCTGACAGAGAAGGGGCTGGTGGCTGAGCTCAGAGTCCCTGGGCATCGGGGCTTGGGAACAATTCCCCTTGATGATCCAAAAGGAACTTGGTGAAGGTGTTGATGGGATTAATGGCCTTGAGGGTAATGGCAGCATCCTTGGCCCACAGCAGGTTGGGGCCAAAGACGACAGCCAGGTTAGTGTTGGTCATCTTGTTCTGGTCACAGTGGGCAGAAATCTGTGGAAGGAAATGGGGGCTGCAGCTGGAAGCCATGGTCCCTGCCTCCCATTCTCAGCAATCACATCTAGAGCAGCCAGGGTAGTGTCAGCATCTCCTTCTTCCTCACACCCCATGAGCAGTGGATGCAGAGGGAGGACTCACCTGCACCAGGAAGGCAGTCAGAAAACGAAGCACCTGGTAGTTCTCCTCGGGCAGTGTTTGGAGGACCTGCTGTGTGGCCTCCACTCTCTGGCTCTCATCAATGTCTGTGAGGAATGGGGTCCAGGTTACAGGGACACAGGGCTGGCTCAGGAAACCCTGTTGTGAGACCAGTGAGGAGTCCCCATAGACTTTCTGGAAGCTGCCTAGGCCCACAAGCCTTCAAGGGCAAGGTGGCTGGGTGGGTAGATGCATGTCCATATATACACACCCACCCTGAGTTCAGTTCTAGCCCTGGTGGAGGACATGCATTGGTGGGGAAGGAGGAGAGAACTCACTGAGGAAGCCCACAACGTGGGGGTAGAGGTCAAAGGTTAGCAAAGGCTCAGGAAGTTCCCGAAGGAAGGTCTTAAGGATGACTGCTGGCAGGTGCAACTCATTGTACTGGTCGAAATCCACTAACAACCCTGTATTGGGGGAGGCAGGATAGAGTGCTAGAGAGGCCAACAGGCCCCGACATCCTTTGTCCTCGGGCATTCCACAAGCTGCTTTTTCCCAGAAGCTCCCTATTGCATCTGCCTCTTCTTTCCCCCTATGGATGGTTCAGGCCATCTGGGAGGACATGAGGACCCCAGCACACATAACAATTATCCTTTGCCTCTGAATGAGACTGAGCCCAAGGCTGCAGAGCCTGAAGATGAAGCAGCAGGTCTGGGACAGCCAGGCAAAAGTGGGACTTATATATCACACCAAAAAACACAACTTCTGACAAGAAGAGAATCTGGGACCTTGTTTATAGGGCAGCAGAAGGCAGAGAAGCCTGTCACAGTCACACATAAGCCCCTTGCCCTCACACACACACACACACACACACACACACACACACGTGCGCGCGCACACACGGCCTGGGCTAGCTCTGGGGCCTGGCCCACTTACCCATGTTGTATTTCTGCTGCACTTCCCGTACAACCTGCGTATTAGCTGACCTCCGGAAGATGCCCTCGGTGGTGAGAGCTGGCAAACAGTGGGGCCTGGTGAGTCTCAGAGCTCTAGGTGGTAGATCACATCCCTACCCTATCAATCTTAGGGTTTCAGGCAAGGTCAGAGTATGTCTCTCTCAGAACCCACCCAAAACTTCTTGAGAATAGCAGGGGACAGGGTGTCTTAGGAGGTCAGTGGCCCTGGGGCTGTGTGGCACTCACCATGAGCCTGCAAGTAGGCAACGGTCTCCCTGAGCACAACAGGAATGGGCTGCTCTGGGTTCTTCTCCTGGAGGCTGTGGGAACAAGGAAGCAGGCTGGGACTGCAGCTCAGCCCAGCCCCCAACAACCCCAGGCTTTCCCACCATTCGCATACTCACTGCTGCAATGAGATCCCAAATTGCTGGTTAGGCAGAGGAGGCCGTGGTGGCATGGGCTTGGGGGCCGTAGCAGGGCTCTTCTGTGTGGATTTGAGGAAGTCATCATACCTAATGGAACAGACAGAACAAGGGTCAGGCCCTCTGTCCACCTCTGTAGTCTCAAAGTCAACTTTACCAAGCCTTTACTATGTGATTTTTACATGGATTATTTAATTTAATACTTGAAAGAGCACCATTTCATTTGACATACTAGAAAACAGACACTTTAAAAAGATTTAGCCAGGTGTGGTAGCACACATCTTTATTCCCAGCACTCAGGAGGCAGAGGCATGCAAATCTCTGTGAGATTGAGACTAGCCTGGTCTATACAGTAAGTTCTAGACTAGCTGGGGCTACAGGGAGACCATGTCTCAAAAAAATAAAAAAATAGATTAAGTCATATAGCTTATGACATAAATGGAGTTTGGTTTGGCTCTGACCAAGTTTTTGCTGTCTCTGAATCATAACAGCCTTCCTCCTGTTTCCCTAGGTTCGCCAGGCTTTCTTCCCCACCCACCCATCTTATTCTGTCCCCCCCCAAAACATGCACACACATGAGCCACTATGTAGATGCAGCCCCCTGCCTGTGAGCCCACCTACTCCCCAGCCTCACTTGAGTACTTGGCGAGGGATCCCCAACTGCTCCAGCTTCACGTGCTCGCTCAGCTCACTCAGATAATTTACATAGAAGATCTTCCGTCCAAATTTGAAACTGTAGGCAAAGTGAAGGACATGGGTCAGTCTGGGTCAGTTGGGCACCTGCTTGGTGTGTGAGGGGATGCATGGAGAGACTTCCCAACCCACCTGTGGCCTGCTCACCTGATGAGCGGTTTGAAAAGGATGAGCAGGGTTTTGATGAACATGGTTGGGTGCACGATGTACAGGGCCTTGATGTTCTTCTTATACCTGCAGGGACAGGTGGGGGACAGGGAATGGGAGAGTAGGAGGGGCAAGGCTTGTTCTTTTGGATTTTGTTTTTAATATTTTATTATTTTTATATGAATGAATGCATTGCCTGCATGTACGTAAGTGCACCCACGTTATGCAATGCCTGCAGAGGTCAGTAGAAGGTGTCGGATGCCCTGGAACTGGAGTTAGGGGTTGTTAGCTGCCATGTGGATGCTGGAAATCAAATCTGGGTTCTCTGCAAGAGTAGCCAGGGCTCTTAACCACTGAGCCCTCACTCCAGCCCTTATTTTTTGTATGTATGTGTGCCTGTGTTAGTTTATGGGCACCACATGCATGTTGGTGCCTTCAGAGGCCTGTCTGATCCCCTGGAACTGTAGTTACAGATTGTAGCTTCCTGCTACGGGTAGTGGGAACTGAACTGGGATCCTCTGCAAGAGGTATAAGCACACATAACCACTGAGCCATCTCACCCCTAGGGATGGTTCTTTTTTTTTTTAATTTTTCTTTATTTTTATTTTATGTGTATGAGTGTTTTGTGTGCATAAGTGTACCCACGTGTGCAATGGCTGCAGAGGCCAGAAGGGGGAATCAGAACCCCTGGAACTGGAGTTATGGATGGTTGTTAACCATCACGTGGGTGCTGGGAACTGAACCCAGGTCCTCTGCAACAGCAGCCAATGCTCTTAACCACGGAGCATCTCTCCAGATCAGTTCTTGTTCTTCTTCTTTTTTTTTAAATATTTTATTTATTTTTATTTTTTTTGGTCTTTTTTTTTTTGAGACAGGGTTTCCCTGTAGCTCCAGCTAGCCTGGAACTCACTATGTAGACCAGGCTGGCCTTGAACTCACAGAGATCCTCCTGCCTCTGCCTCCCAAGTGGTGGGATTAAAGGCGTGTACCACCATGACTGGCTTTATTACTTTTTTTTAATGTGTATGAGTGTACTGCCTGCATGTGTAATAAGTGCACCCATATCATGCAATGCCAGCCAGAATAGAGCATCAGATCCCCTGGAACTGGAGTTACGGAGAGTTGTTAGCTGCCATGTGGGTGCTGGGGGGAATGAAACTCCGCCAGTGCTTTTACTGCTGAGTTATCTCTCCAGCCCTCAGGGATGGTTCTTAATGGACAGTTTCTGATTTGAACTGGCAGGTGTACAAGGTAAGTGCCACTGTTGCCCCATTTACAGATTAGGAAACAAGAAGCTTAGAGAAATATCATGAAAAAAAAATCACAGAGTAGAAAAACTGGAAGTTAAGTGTAGGCCCTTTTGTCTTCATATTATTTTTGTTTACCCAAGTGGGGATCCTGCCTCAACTGGCATAGAACAAGCTCCTGACCAAGCAGAGGGCAACTCAGAGCCTACAGGCTGTTGAACCAGAACCACCTATTCCAGGCTCTGGAATCCCCTCCCACATCTCAACCCACTTGCGGTCAAATTCCCGGTAGGCATCCCGTAACCAGCTGAGGGAGGGCTTGTTGTCACTGGTCAGGCCATGGTGCAGGTAGAGCAGTGTGTAGTCACTCTCCACATACTGGTCCAGAGTGTGCTTCAGGTACCTTAAAGAGAAAAGCCCAGGGCTGAGGGTATAGTTCATTGACAGAGTGATTGTCTAGCACTTATGGCTCAACCATGGGCTCAACCCCCAGCATCATAAACACATAAAAAGAAAAGCTCTGCCCAGACCTGTTCTATACACAGGTGTGGCCTCTGTGAAGATGGAAACCAGTGCCTGGGAGCCTCCTGCTTGCTTTCTTCTCTACAGGCCCTCCCCTCTATTGTCATTGGGCTATGTAGTACATCACCACATTCCCAGAAGGTGTCAACCAGTAATGGCTGGGCCTAACAGAGAACTAAATATGATACTAGATCTCATTTTGAGCAGTAGCCATCTGGAGACCTGAGCTCTAAACTGGGCCCTCTTATCTACCTGCAGTTAAAAGGAATGACATCTTCCTCTCAGGATTTCCCTGACTCAGTAACAAGGACAGACAGTCATTAGTTATTGATAAAAGCTTTTAGTGTCTGCCAAGCACTTCAAATACATTACCTCATTCCTTTCTCATAAAAACTAAGGCTGAAGTTAACTCCATTTTACTAATGAGGGCAATAAGCAAGAGAGGTTAAGTGCAAGGTTATGGTTTGAGGCAGGGCCTGGCAGTGAAGTGTCCAACTCCAAGACTGCACTATAGATCTTGGAATAACTCTGCCTTTTATCTGTGATCTGTGGTACAAGTTGTAAAACACTGTGCCCCTAAGAAGAAAGCAGGACGGCCTAACTGTTCCGGTCATTAGGCTTGGAGTGGCCCACAGAGTTAGGCTTTGAGTGGCCCACAAAGCCATACTCCTCAGGTTCCCTATGCTACTATATACACACATACACACACACACACACACACACACACACACACACACACACACTGAGCACAGCACACTGAGTATGTAAGGAATGAATAAGGAGTCAAGACAGGGAGGGAAGTATTGGGTAAAGACCTCTTAGAGGATTATAATTAGTTCCTAGGCTTCACTAGGGACACCACTCCAGGCTGGCAGGGTGGAATGCTAAGAACGTCCAAGAGGAAGCAAGAGGAGGGCAAATGTCTGAGGGAGTGCCCAAGGATTTGACTAAGTGCCAGATGAATGACCTAACCCAAAGACAGCAGCAGTCCAACAACTGGTCCCCAGGTACAGAGCTGAGTCAGTGCAGGCAGGCAGGACAGGATTCTGATTGTTCTTAAATAGAGAATAATTTAGTCCTTATCCGCACTGAGCACTTTGTAGCTTACAACAGCTGTCATATAAAAAGATGGCATTTTGAAATTATGGAAAATAGCAAATATTAATAGTTAAAACAGACACCCTTATCCACTGACACATGCTATGACCTTTGGAAAGCAATAAATTGATGCTTATCAAAAACTATACAATGCTCATGTTCTTTGAACGTGTAAAAATATGCCCAGGAATTTTTTTCTATAGAAATAGAGAGGAATAGAAACATTTTTTTGTAAGAGACTGTTCATTTTAGTTTTATGACGGAAAAAAAAAAAAAAACTAAGCAGCAAAATAGTTGTCCAACATCAGGGAGCTGGAAAAAGAAATCATGGGACATCTATAAATAGAATCTCACAGGATGTTTCTACAAACAGGGCTAATCTTTGAAGTCAGATGTCAGAACACTGGTTCGAGGCAGAAACTGGAAGAACAAAGGGAGGACTAGGGGTGTGGGTCCGATGGGTGTGTTTTTTGTTTTGTTTTATATTTAGGTTTATTTTTTTAATCTTTATTTTTTCAAGACAGGGTGTTACTATGTAGGCCCACCTGGTCTACAACTTACACTGACCATCTCAGGTTGGCCTTGATCTCACAGGGATCCATCTGCCTCTACCTCCCAAGTGTTGGGATTAAAGACCTGTACTATAATATCTGGTTGTATTTAAGTTTAAAATTTCTTTTACTTATTTTTATTTTATGTGTATGAGTGTTTTGCCTACTTGTTGTAAGTGCAGCACATACACACAGTGCTTTCAGAGGCCAGCAAAGGGTGTTGGATCCCTGGAACTGGAGTTATAGATGGTTTTTACTTGCCTTATGAGTGCTGGGTACTGAACCTGGATCCTCTGTAAGAGCAGCCAGTGCTCTTAACCACTGAGCCATCACTCCAGATCCTATATTTAGTTTTTTTGAGACAAGATCTCACTATGTAGCCCAGGCTGGTCTGTAACTCAAAATCCTCCTGCCTCAGCTTCCTGAGTGCTGGGACTGCAGGCATGATCTATACCTGGCTGTTTTTAAAATTCACCATTAGCTGCATGTAGTGTTATATATATGTAGACCCAGCTATTCAGCAGGCTGAGGCAAGAGGATTATGGAAGCCCAGGAGTTTTGACACTAGACTAGACAACACAATAAAGCCATGTCTCAAAAAAAGCAAAATTTTGTTCATTTTTCTATTTGCATGTTTAAATAAAAATGTTTCAGCCAGGCATGGTGGCTCACACCTTTAATCCCAGCACTTGAAAGGCAGAGGCAGGTGGATCTCTGTGAGTTAAAGGCCTGGTCTACATAGTGAGTTCTGGGCCAGCTGGGGCTACAGGGAGACCCTGTCTCAAAAAGACCAAAAAAAAAAAATTTTTTTTTATTTATTATTTTCATGTGTATGCGTGTATTGCCTGCATTTAGGTAAGTGCACCCATGTCGTGCAACGCCCTCAGAGGATAGAAGAGGCTGTCATATCCCCTAGAACTGGAGTTACGGACAGTTGTTAGCTACTATGTGGATGCTGGGATTCAAACCCAGGTCTTCTGCAAGAACATTCAGTGTTCTTAACCGCTGAGCCATCTCTCCAGCCCACAATCCTCTCTCTTTTTTTTTTTTTTTCTGTCTTTTTGAGACAGGGTCTCCTTGTAGCCCCAACTGTCCTGGAACTCACTGTGTCGACCACGTTGGCCTCAAACTCACAGAGATCCGCCTGCCTCTGCCTCCCAAGTGCTGGGATTAAAGGCGTGCACCACCATGCCTGGCTCATTTTTATAAGTCTCAGAGCGACTTGCCTCTAAGTACATAGCTGGTTAACAGGCAGAACTGAAGTTTATCTGGTCTTCTGATTCCAAGCTTCAGGCATTTTCCATTCCTATACCCTAGATCTGGGTGGGGAGTGGGGAAAAGCCAAGTCTGATGTAATCTGACTGCAAACAGGGCAGACTCATGGTGGAAGCAACGTTTGCTCTCAGCAAGGACTGGGACCAGGCAGGAGTGTTGTGTGTTCATGTGTGTCTGAGAAGGGATGGAGTACTTACAGCAGCTCAGAGCAGAGGGCTTCTTGAGCCTGGAGGAAGCCCCAGCAACTTATCCTGAAAACTGGGTGCTTTCCAATTGCTTGCTCTGGCTTCCTCCCATTGGGACTATTATCTGGCCAGGAGTCTGCCACCTGGTACATCAAACATGGCAAAAAAAAAAAAAAAAAAAAAAAACAAAATATTCGGCCGGGATCTCTCCCCCCGGAAAAAAAAAACAGAAAAAAAAAAAAAAAAAAAAAAAAAAGCCAGACGGAAGGGTCTGTGACTCAGCCCCTTGAGGCTGAGCTCTGTGGTGCATATTTCTGGCTGGGCCAAAAGGTTGGTCTGGGATAAGACTCTGCCTGCTCTATCTGAGGAGCCATGGGACAAGAGGTCAGGAGGAGAGTTAGTTTACAGACTCAGGACAAGGACTGAGCCTCCAGCTCTGATCCTCAGGGATCAGCTGGGACTGCAAACTCAGGCTTGTGTCTTTCTGTGGCACTTGGAACCTGTCCCTGAGCCTATCCTAACCACCTACACATGTACAACAGTCAGGACCTCAAAGAGCAGCTCTGGGCAATGCACTATTTTTATATTTCAGGGGGAACTTTAAATTGGTCAGGAAAGAAGTACGAAATGGTCACTCAGAGCAAACTGTGAGTTTCTGCTATGCCTCTGTGGATGATCCCACACACTGTGACAGCACCCTGGTCCCTGATGTGGGCCCAGTCCTGACTCAATAGAGAAAGGCCAGAGGAGGAGTTGCCACTCATCTGCATCTCACCAGCTTTTGGATTTGCACCAGGAAATGTTTCTACTGTACATATTTGGCAAATGGAACAAACACAAGTATAGAAATCTTTGATGACAAATTTGGCACAAAATAACATACTTCTAATTATTAACAATCACAATTACATCAGAAATATCATGTAGTTATACTTATTTGGGTAGTATTTAACTTTTCAAGGTATTTTCTAATGCAGTATCTCACTCTTGTCAGGAAGGAAGCCATATTATTATTCACTGTCCCCCTTGAAAAGTAAGAAAATTAGGAGCAAAGACATCTGCCAAGATCACACAGTTTCTAAAACTAGAAACTAGGTCTGACTCCTAGCCCAATGCTCTTTCCCAAACACAAAACAGCTCCCTTAAGAGTGGTGGCCTGGTGCCCCAAGATTGGGGGACAGTAAGGAAAATGGTTCTAAGCTGAGGGTCTGGAGAGACCCTACTTCCCCACAGGTACTTACCCCAAGAGCTTGCTGTGATCCAGCTGGTGGCTAGGAGGCATTCGACAAGCACTGAACACAATTATCTTCCGCCCATACTTGTCATCACCTAAGTGTGGAAAAAGACAAAGTACAGTGGATGAAAGACGAACCAAAAGGGGAAGAAGGTAAGGAACATAAAAGGTGGCAACCTGAAGCCTGTGCTCTGAGTATAGGGCCTGAGTGGCCCATGCCCACTACCCCTGGGCAGTTCATCTGTACTCAAGATAATGCTGAGTAAGAGGGACCAGTTGCTTTCAGGGCCTCTGAGCTATGGCACAAAAAAATTATCCTTGCTTTTTAAGCCAGGCATGACGGTACACACCAAGTGCTTAAATCTATACTTGGGAGGTAGAGGCAGGAGGAACAGGAGTTCAGGACTTCATAATGAGTTCAAAGCCAGCCTGGGCTACCCGAGATCTCGTCTCAAAAAAACAAGAAGAATCACCTTGAAACAGTAATGCCTGGTAGAAACAATACACATGGCCATCAATGGATGAATGAATAAAGAAAATGTGGCATATTGAGGCAGCTTCATTATAAGTTTGCAGCTAGCCTTGGCTAGAGTAAAACTCTGTCGCAACAATAAACAACCAAAAAAGTGGTATTACCATGCAATGGAGGTTTAGCCACAAAAAAGGAATAAAATACTGATATATAGCACAAAATATATGTAGCTTGAATACTGGCTGCTCTGTCAGCACCCATATGGCAGCATATAACCATCCATAACCATAGTTCCAGATCTGACATTCACTTCTGGCCTCTATGGGCTCTGCACAACACAGGTACACTTACATACATGTAGATACCACATGCACACACACACAAAGATAGGACCCATGAAATGCAGGGAGTTTGCCCTTCCATTCCACCTGAGCAATAAGGATGGTTCTCTCTAGTGAGCCCCATAATCCTGCTCAATCTGGCAGAGATCAGGAATCAGTGCTTTTCCAGAGTGTTCTAAGCCTCTCACCCTTTTCTCTAGCGCTAAGCCAGGGCTCACTGGAAGGGCAGAAGGAGGCTTCTCAAATGTGGCCAATGCCACATTGCTGGCAGCATGGACTGGTGCTTTGAGACTCCTAGTAGTCTCACAATCTTGACAGCTCCTGGATCATGCCCCATTCCTTCTGCCTCCATCCAAAGCACTGCCTGGTTCTGTTAGCCCAAAGAGCTTGGCCAGGACTTCCTGTGTCAGTACCTGAAGCCTAGCCCACCAAGCCCAAAAAGACACTCTTTCTTAGCCCTTAATCTGCCCCAATGGCCAGCCCTGGAGGATTACAAACACCTACTGCCCCCAACTCTACTTCCTCCTGAATCCCACCTTAGGTGGACTCTGTGTACCTGGTCCTGAAAATGTTCCTTAAAATGGAAGCCAGACATAGTGGTGCACACCAATAATTCTAGCATTAGGGGGTAGAAACAGGAATATCAAAACCTGCCTCAGCTATATAGTAAGTTCAAGGCCAGGCTGGACTTCATGATAACCTGGTCTCAAAAGAAAAAAAAAATTCCTTAAAATGACTCACAGGACTCTGAAGTTTGGTGCCACCTGGTAGCACATCACACCAGACTGTTGCTTGTAACAGACTTTTCTCCAGATATTTTCCCCCTCCAGGCTAGCTATATGAACCTGGGAGACTCACCCATGCATACCTGCCTCCACCTTCCCCCAGACAGCTCTGACCCCAGGAGTAAAGCAGCCCTCACTGACTGGAAGAGTAGAAGATTGAGCCAGGGTAGAAGGTCTGAGAGCTCTCATGGCTCTGGAATGTAAAAAGCCAGGAAGAGGTTAAGACAGCAATTGAGGTGAGGCCAGGGGCATGTATTCCACCTTTCAGCTGGCCACAGAGCCTCAGAAATGGGGAATAGCCTGTGAGTAACCTCTCATCTATGATTTTGTGAGTAACCCCAATAAACCAATTGGTTCATCAAAAAAGAGAAAAAGAAAGAAATGGGGAGCAGTGTGTTCTCAGCTAGGGTTCTACCAATGGGCTCAGCAGACCCACCAATTTCATGTTATACAAAAACTATTACAAGCTCATGCACTTTCTCTAGAGAAATAAGTCACACCCTAGTGACTCTAAGGGGACACAAAAGCCTATGACTCTTTTTAAGAACTATCTTACTGGACTGTTAGCTTTTTAAAAATTAGTTTTCCCAATGCTGAGACCAGAACCCTGGGCCTTGCACATGCTAGACAAGAGCTCTGCCCTGAGTTATATCCCAGCACTAGACTGTATACCTTTAGGGAGCACAGGGGGTGCTGTTCCCTACTGAATCCTCAATGTTGACTGCGGGGTTATTCTAGGGTACTGTTTGAGGAATGCACACTAAAGGAAGCCAGGATGACAAAGGGATCAAAAGATAACAGTGAAGAGTTGGATGGCAAGCATGGAAGGAGGGTCAGCAGCCCTAGGGTCCATTCCCTGCCCTCTGACTCACTGAAGTAGAATCCTATCACCAAGTTAGCAGCAAGCAGGGTGGCTGCCGTAACAAGAAGCACACGGGAACTCCCCCAGCTGCTCCCAGAAGGGATTGGAATTGATTCTGGCCTGGAACCTTAGGAGAAATGCAGAGCTGGCAGCTGTGGTGTCTCAGGGCTCTGGGCAGAGAGTTCAATGAGGAGGGGTACAGCATGACAGGCTGCCTGAGAGCAGGCCCCTGCATTCTCCAGATATTAATCAGGAACTCTCCCAGGGTGGCCTGGGTGTTAATCAGCAACAGTACAGCTCCTCTAGCCTTTCTAGGGATTTCCAGACCAGCCCCGACCCGCCCACAATCTGTAGAACAGCTCAAGGACATAAAAAGTAGGGGGTTGGGACTGACAGAGCCCATGGTATGTAGGAGACAGTTCAGACATTTGTTAAATTGTTAAATTGTCAGGAATTTTGTAACCCAGTTGATATCATGTTGGAAGCTTGAAACCAGCTGTTGTAGAAACTGAAAATGTTAGAGATAACTCTCCTCCTTTCTAGAGAGTCTACTGTTAAACATTTACCAGCACACCATACCACTACAAAGACCCCACTGGGACTGAGTCAAATCTGACTGTGGAGCATGACAGCCACTGCAGGAGGGGACAACAGAGGCTATAGAGGACCTGGAGATATAGCCTACTCTCCCTTCCACATGGGTTCTTTCTCTGAGTTCTGGTACCAGGGACATCTCCACAGGCTCTTCAAGCCTCACTCTGGTGGTGCTGATCCAGACTCCTCCCACCATCGAGCAAGGCTTCAGAGAGCTGCCTCCCCTGGAGCATCCTTCCCCTTGGGTTCTGGGTGTGTCCCCACATAGCCTCTACCTCATCGGTTCTCTCAAATTCAGCTATTTCCGGCTTCCAAAGCCACTACCAGCTCCCAGCTCCCCAGAGCGGGGCTGCAATTAAGCTGGCCCCACTGGCCTCCACCATGAGCCCTTCCTGATTCGTAGCCCCAGAGGCCACTGCCCACAGACGCCAAGCACAGAGAGCCAGAACTGCCACCTACCTGGCTGGGCCCCCTCAGGCTCGCCACACTCTGGGGAAACAGAAACATGCTGCAAGGAGGCTTGCTGTCCCTAAGACAAGGGACACCCACAGAAGTAGAAGGGACAGCCTACACCTGCTGTCTTCTGACTTAACCACATAGGTCAGGAGGATGTTAGGATAAACTCCTTCATATTATACATCCTGACACCCCACTCAGGTTTCCAGGGCGACTCTCCTGCCCAGGTCAGATGCAGGCCAGGAAGGAACTCTGCTTCTGCAGGGATGTGAGATGCCAGAACCAAGGCCTGCAACCCAGACCAAGGCAGATATCATTACCAGAGACACCATGGAAACACCTTACACGTAAGGGGCAATACCTTCAACAGCCACAACCCACTCTGAGCCCAGCATTTGGAGGAATGCAGCTTCTTCCTACTTCCCCCTAGCCAGGTGCCTGCAGGCCTGTGGATTCTTCCAGGCCCTCTCAGTCAGTACCACACTGGGGTCTAGAGGCACAACCCTTAGGCTTCCTTGTGCCCCAGAGTAGGGTCAAGGTGACTACTTTCTTACAGTTGCCTGGTCTCATAATGGCCTCTTCTAGTCCTGAAGGCAAGAGCCAGTCCACTGAGGGCTCACTACCTCCCATGCTCCAAGTCTGTTCTGGGTCCTGCCTTATGAGTAGGACTCTAGGGAGCCACATGGCCTTGTGTATTCAGAAAGAGGCTCTGCCCATCTGAGATCTCTTTGGAGGTGAGGTTTCCTAGGAGGGACTGGCATCCCATCCCCAGGAACTGATGGGGTGGAAAAGCAGACCTCAGGGTCAAGGGAATGAAGGACATGAAGGAAACGGCAAGGTCACTTATTTAGGACCAGCTGTGTTCTGGCTCCACAGATGTGTTAACATATAGAATGCATGTATGCATTACTGTAATCCTCAACAACTGTGAAAGGAAGGAGCTCAGCAAGCAGAGCTGGAGCCCAAACTCAACACTTTCTGACTTCCAAGCTACTAAGCCACAATGCCTCCCACATTGCATCTGCAAAGGAGACGATGGTACATCAGTCAGGAGGAGGTGACAGGTCACTACTGAGTAGTAATCATCAAAATCAAGAGTGTATGTCTAAGGAAAGGTACATGTGCTCAGGAGCTTCAAGGCCTGGGGACAGACCACAGGCTAGATACAACGTGTCCCTTCAGTCCCTTTCTTAGTAGCATAAGGGGCCAGGAATACAGCCTGTGAGGAAAGAGTACAACACTGGGCATGCTCACCTGCCACTTCCACAATCTGGTGCCGAGCAATGTCATAGTAAGGGTCATCCCACTTCAGATGTGTGGCAGGTTCTGGGGAACTGCTTTTGGAGTCATCTGGGGAACATAGAGAAGGTGGGGTCACTCTAGAGGCTTGCCTAACACTTTCCCTAAGACTCACCCTTTTGCCCCTTGCCCCCCAATGAGGCTTGTGTTCCTGGATCTACCTTAGGGCTAGTCTCCTTGCCCCATCTTATTCCCCAGAGCCCCCTTTGGCAGGAAGGGAGGTGTCTATAGCTGCCTGAGATGCGGTACCACCCACCTGACTTGGGAAAGTCTGGCATTTCATCAGAGGGCCAGTTCTTTTCATCGATGGAGGCCAGCTTCAGTTGGTTTAGAGCCTGGTTGGTATCATCCAGGGTCAGGTCGTCTTGCAGTTCTGAGAGTGGATCCATGACCAGGTCTGTTCCCTGTGGCAGCACCTGAAGAGAAACCTAGGGGAAGAGGGAGGGTGATGGGTCAGTGACACCACCCCCTTCCACCTTCTGTAACTTTTACAGCGATCCCTTCTGTTCCTAATCTTTCCTTTTCAGGCTCCCTGGTCCCTTTTCCTCAACACTTCTCATCCTGCCAAGAGTTCTGCAGAGCATGTGCCAGAAAAGGCAGCTGGAGCAGTGGATGGCACAGCTCAGCACCTCCCTTCAGGTCCTCAGCTGGGCAGTAAGAGTGGTGCCAGATCCCATACTGCCTACCACCCAACTAACACAGTTATGTGATCCCAGCTGCCAGGAGGCAGAAGCCTATGGCTTCTCCTCAGAGATCCTAGAGCTCAGAAGCCTTGTGTCCCAGCAGTCACAGGGGTGGATGTTACAGGAATCTAAAGAGTCTCCAAACGCCATGCCTGAAAAAGGCCAACAGAGGCCCTGGAAACTCCATTCCTCTCTCCTGGTCTGAGGAGAAGTAGCCAAAAAGGATCCCAGAGAAAAAGGGCATGGCTGAGGAGCTTAGGTGGTTTTGCCTGGGACAAGAACCCAGGATTGGAATGCCAGCAGATATCTTACAGGTCTCTACGGCTCTCAGGCCCTCTCTAAACCTGTAGGGACTCCAGATAATAGTTTCAAGGTGGTGATATCAACAGATTGCCTTAAGAATTAGAGGGCACAAATGGGAAAGAGCCAGAGCATGAAGATGAGGACATGAAGGACAGAAAAGCTGGGAGGGAAGGAGAAGAGCCAGCACTGAAACCAGGTCCAGGACCTGACTGGAGGAGGTGGCAGTTTCTGCTCTTGGCCCTATGAGAAGTCCCTCCCTCAAGCTCACTTGATGGGTGAGGGAGGAGGTTTCGATTCAGCCTATTTGCCTAACCCCAGAGGAGAGGCTTTGAAGGACTGCTACATTCCTGAAGCTGGAAAAAAATGACATATATGGTCAGAGACTCAGCAGGACAGATAAGGAGAGCAGACAGGGCCTGAGGGTGGGTAGGAAAAAGAGATGCACACACTGTGGACTCTGACAATACAATAGGCTGCACACATTACAGCCTAGGGCTCTAGATGGTGAACTGGCTCCCTGGGCCTAGCAACAACCACCGTGTTACCAAGGCAACCACACTGAGTCAGTAGGAAAGCTGTTTCAAGCCTCTAAGCCAAGGCCAAACAGGCAAAAATCCTCTTCTTTCTTTCTTTTCCCCTCCCCTGGCCTTATCTATTACCCTTATTCACTACCCTTGCTGACCACCAAAATATAGGCTCCTCCCTAAAAACACCAAGGATGACCCTGCCACGTTTGCTAATGTATTTTTCTTGATGAGGTCTCTTTTGCCTTCACCTGAAGCCCAGATCCTAACCCACCCCTGCCTTCAACCCTGAGTCCTCCAACCTCTGACCCACCTACTCCTCCCCCATTCAATCAGGAAGTTGTAGGGCTGCTCAACAAAAGGATCCCCTACCTTACTTGGCTCATTAAGGGACAAAATCAAGCTCAAAGTGACCTCCTCCCACCTGAGCCTTCTCTCCATCCCTTCTGTCACTGTCCAGGAACTAGAGGCTCCTTCAGCCTCACCCACAGGTATCCTAGAGAAACTTTTATGTGCACAGTTAATAGCTGGTGTGATAGAAAAAGTATGGGGTCAAGTATATGGAAAACTAGGTTAGACTCTTTTCTAAGCCAAAGACTTGCAAAGATCCTGGACTTGCAAAGCCCCTTTCCTATCCAGGCCTAAAATTTCCTCATCTGTTGAAATAAAGGTCCCTCCCAGAAATATAACTCTCCAATGTTCAAAAGCACTTGTGCACAAATAAACAGGATTAAAAGTAGCAGCTAAGGCCAGGTGTGGTGGTGTATGCCTTTAATCCCAGCACTCGGGAGGCAGAGGCAGGCGGATCTCTGTGAGTTTGAAGCCAGCCTGATCTCCATAGTGAATCCAGGATAGCTGGGGCTACAGGGAGGCCCTGTCTCAAAAAGCCCCCCCCCCCAAAAAAGTAGCAGATAAGAGTGGAGCTATGTGTGAGGGAGGGAGAGGGACACTATCTAACCAAGAGCTGAATTTTGTTTTGTTTTGTTTTTTTGGAGACAGGGTCTCCCTGTAGCCCCAGCTGTCCTCGAACTCACTATGTAGACCAGGCTGGCCTTGAACTCACAGAGATCCGCCTGCCTCTGTGCTGGGATTAAAGGTGAGCACCACCACGCCTGGCCCATAATCTCTTTTTTTTTTTTTTTCAACAAAACTAATCACAGTGGTGCCCACCTCCTCAGCCTCTCTCAATCACCTCCTTTTGTTACCTTCTCTGAGTCTGGAAGTTTATCTGCTATTCAGTGGGAGGATGAGGGAAGCCAGTGAAAGAAATTCTAACACAAAATGGTGAGAATGAAGCATCCTGGCTGCTCCTTAAATAAACCAACCACCAGCGAAGTCCTATTCCACTCTACAAAAGTTACTGCTCTGAGATTAATGTTCCCTTCTCAGCAGGTAAGCCACTTACCTTTACAAGTGTTTGAGAATCATTTTATGCAGAGGTTTCAACTTTTGGGAAATGGTGAACCTCTGTGATATTCTATTATCTATGGACATTTTCTCTAAGAAAACTCAACAAATGCATGAAAATATTGCACACCATTTTAAAGGGTTCACAAAACTTCTGAGAGTCACTGAAGCCGGGCATGATGGCAAACACCTTTAATCCTAGCACTTGGGAGGCAGACGCAGGCGGATCTCTGTGAGTTCAAGGCCAACCTGGTCTACATAGTGAGTTCCAGGACAGCTGGGACTACAGAGAGACCCTGTCTCAAAAAGACCAAAAAATAAAATAAAATAAAATAAAATAAAGAACCTCTTTAAGGTGGGCATGGTGGTGCACACCTTTAGTCCCAGTACTCGATGCAGAAGCATGTGGATCTGTGAAATCTGGTTTACATAGCAAGTTCCACACCAGCTGGGGCTACAGGGAGAACTTGTCTCAAAAATACAAAACCAACAACAACAAAAAGAACCTCTTCAAGGTTGTGAGGCTATAGCTCTGTGGTAGAACATTTTGCCTATCATGCACAGGGCCCTAGGTTCCATCTCCAGCACAAAAAAACAACCTGTTCATAATAATGCCTAGTCCATTGTAGATGCTCCATGTTTGGGGTGGTCTCTTGGTGAGAAGCAATCCCACAATTCCCTAAGTGACTGTCATTCACAAAAGTTCACAGGGTTCAAAGAGGAGCAAGAAAAGGGCAACCAGAGCCTCTCCCCTAAGCTATTAGCACAGAACAGAGATAGCAACTTGAAATCGTATTCTCTGGTGTTGGAATCGGACTTAGTTCTGTGGCTCCAGAAAAAAAGGAAAATCCCACGTTACAGTATCTCTAAACTACAATCACTTTTGCACAGAGTTTGGGAAAAAAAAAAAGTTGACTGTATTTCATTTCACAAGAAAGTGAGCCCAGAGCATGGCCTAACAAGTGACAGGTTTGAACACTTCCCCCGAATTTCTCGTTCTTAGTGCTCAATCAGATCCAATCAGGAAGATGTCTCCCTCCCACAGCTTTGCTGATGACAGAAATCTGACTTGGCCGCTGCCCTGGGGAGGGCAGGAAGAAGGCAGAGAAAGGGGCTATCTCCTCAAAGCAGGCGCCAAAACTCCGGCAGCGAAAAGACTCCGGACCCCAGGCCCAACTCCATCCCCAAGCGCCTTGCTGGGATTCTGTCCATGTGAATCCCATACCTTCAGATGATCAAGGCAGCGCCTTCCTGCCCCCACCCCCCACGCCCGGTGAGACCCCCGGCTGCACAGCTCACCGCGCTCCCGCACAGCTCCCTCTGCCACGCCTGTCAAAGCTCGGCAAACATCCGGCTCCGCGTTGGAACGGGAACCGCCCCCTTTGGGGCTCCTCACTCCCCAACCACTTCCGCCACACCTCCCACCTACTTCCGTCTGGCTGCCCAAAATGGCCTTTCCTGGAGCCCCGCCCACTTCCTGCAAGCTCCTGCCGAAACGCCCACGGATGGGGAGAGACGGTAGAACTGTACGACTCGTAGCTCCTCGAATGAGGAGGTGGGTTGGATGGATCAGTTCCGGTTTCGTAGATACTGGAATGTCTCGCGGGCCTCTGGGGTCCTACGTCCGTATTGTTTCCGGACGAAGTTTTGTCTTACAAATATTTCCAAACTCCCGGTCCTATGCTCCAGTGAGAGCTGACTTTGGGCTCTTTCCTGAGAGGAAATTTGTAAGTCAAAGACTGTTTCCTGGAGGAGGCGAGAAGAAGACGCTCACTTCCGGCAGAGGGAGGCTTCCTGACTCAGGATGAAGGAGGCGGAGGAAGTGCTCTCGGAGGGGAAGACGCTGTTGCTGCGTGAGTGATCTGTGATGTCTCCTGCCCTCAGCTCTGGCCTAACTCGCCCAAGCGTTCTCTGGTCCTCTTGTTCTCCCACATCCCTTTCCTCTCGAGCCGGAGAGCCTCCTTCGGTGCCTTCGGAATCCTGACGGATCCCTTAGTCCTTTCCGGGGCCCCATAGGCTAGGGCTTTGCCGATCCTTCGGGCTCAGGCCCAACCGAGCCTGCACTACCCTTCCTCCCCTTTTCCCATCCCCACGCCCTCGTGGGCCGCTTTTTTCACTGCCTTCCCGTCTCCCTGCAGCCCTCGAGCCGCGCCTGGGCCCGGACTCGGGATGGAGCCCTTCGGAAGAAGGCTATGCTCGGGGCCTCCAAGATTTCCCGCCAGGGCTGAGCCCAGCCATCCTTGCCCTAAAGAGCCTCCCCCCCGGCTTGGCCATAGGCCCCTCAAGTACCAGGGAACAGCGCTTGGGGGTCTGGTGTGTCGGAGAGCCCCTGCGTCCGGGACTGCACTGGGGCCCTCTGGAAGAGGAATCTGGCATGCAGGAGAAAGGCGACGGAGAGGAGTCACGCCACGGGGAGGTAGTGAAGCATAGGATATCTTCTGTCTCTGGTTGAAAGTTTGGGCATGGTTTAGACATTTAAGAACAGCTCTCAGGGTCGTTAGAGAGATGCAGGGTATTTCAAGCGTTGGAATTTGTTTTTTTTCCCTGCTGTGCAGCACAGGCTTCCTCTAAACCGCACTAGTTAAGGAATCGAGATGCAAGAAGTTGTTAAAAGCTGAATTCTTAGTGACAAAGGTCGAAAGCTGTGGTTATCAGGATCAAATTCTAGTCACTCTACTAAATTACATGCCTATGTTACTTCTGCAGATGAGAAAGCAGTGGCTGTATCAAGATTATTTGGTGGACTAGATTAAATAACTCAAAACGTTCAATTACATAGTAAGGATTATTAAAAAATTGATGGCCTTCTTACAGCATTTTGTTTAGTACGTATGCATCTTGTGCATCAGAAAACTGTGATGTCTTGAGTTTAGCAGTTTCCCCCCACCCTTGGAAGGGATGTGAGTGGATTTTTTGCTTTACTAACTAAAGAATAAAACAGCATCATCATAGAGAGCGTCATCTTAGATGTGACCAGAAAGGTTTCACCCAGTTTTTTGTTTTGTTTTGTTTTCCTACCTGGCTCCCCGAAGGCATATGAAAAAGGCTTTCATTGTTTTATTTCAGAACTTGTCACCAGGTCCATGTGGAACTATATGTACATGGGAACAGAGTTCAGGCTGGACCAGGTAAGTTACAGGAGTGTGTATATTACATATGCTTGCTTGGATTGGAACTTGAAGCCAACTCATAATTGCTTAGCTGTGGATCTAAAGGCATGGTGGAACTGTTGGAGGAGGCTACTTGAAGAGGATCTATTGGGTTAACTCTTGCTCTCTTTTGCAGCCTGGTGCAGCAGGGTCGGCTGAAGAATGATGGAAATGTGTCCTTGGTTTGGATCAATAAGAAGCTCCACCTTCAAGTCTACCAGATTGTACTGCCAGGGTTTGAGCTGCTGCTGTGCCCACAGTCTCCCTCCAGGGGCCTGAGTGTCATGCAGCCCAGGCTAGAAGAAGAAACAGATGTAGTGGCAGTGGCAGAAAAGGAGTCTGCTATACAAAAAGAGGTGGCCTTTCCCTGGGAAAATGCAGCAGAGTCTTGCACAGGTATATGCCTGATAAACTCCTGTTTCCTCTTTAAAGTCATATTAGCCACATACCAAGATTGAGGCCATTCTGGGCTACATGAGAACCTGTCTCAATAAAACAAAACATTCACCAGGAGTGGTGACTTACACCTTTAATCCCTGCACTAAGGAGGCAGAGGCAGGCAGATCTCTGTGTGTTGGAAGCCAGTCTGGTCTACATAGTGAGTTCTAAGCCAGCTGGGGCTACAGAGAAAAACCCTGTCTCAATAAGTAAATAAACAACCATTACTCTGGAATGGTTTCCCCAGAGGTACCTGACACTGGACAGGAAGAGAAAGGGGAGGGACTGGTGTCATCTTTTTTGTCATTGTTGGGCCTGGCAACAGAAAACACATTGTGTGATTCCCTGGCAGTATCATCTGCTACCAAGCTTGATTAACTCCAGCGCCCCACCCCTTTCCTCATAGATCCTGGTCATGAGCCACCTCACAGTATCCAGACAGAGAGTTTACTAGACCCTGGACCTATGGCCGAAACCCAGGACCAGCCTTTCAAGGATAACTACCCCCCATTGCTTCAAGATGGTAGCATGGATGAGGAGTGCCTGCCACAGACACCACCTGAACCTCAGAGCAGCTTTGCTGCCCAGAAGAGCCCAGAGAGCAGTAAAGCCAATTTGTCACCTACCCAGCTGCATACCTGCCCAGACAAGAAGTTACACGACCCCAGTGATCAATTCCTGTCCACAGCAAAGACCTCAGAGCCTGGAGCCCAGCTCTCTGCCTTGCCTGTACTCCCATGCAGCCCTCCTGGTCCAGGAAGAAGCTCCCCAAAGCAAGGTCGTCGGTACCATTGCGGGGAGTGTGGCAAGGCATTCCTGCAGTTATGTCACCTCAAGAAGCATGCATTTGTGCACACAGACCACAAGCCCTTCCTGTGCACAGAGTGTGGCAAGAGCTACAGCTCAGAGGAGAGCTTCAAAGCCCACATGCTGGGCCACCAAGAGGTGCGACCCTTTCCTTGCTCACAATGTGACAAGGCTTATGGTACCCGGCGGGACCTCAAAGAGCACCAAGTGGTTCATTCAGGTGCCCGGCCCTTTGTATGTGACCAGTGTGGCAAGGCCTTTGCTCGAAGACCCTCCCTGAGGCTGCATCAGAAGACACACCAGATGCCAGCTGCCCCTGCCCTATGCCCGTGCCCAGTGTGTGGGCGCTCCCTGGCCAGTCAGGGCTCCCTGCGCAACCATATGCGGCTCCACACAGGAGAAAAGCCCTTCCTGTGCCCACACTGTGGCCGAGCATTCCGACATCGGGGCAACCTTCGAGGGCACTTGCGGCTACACACAGGGGAGCGCCCTTACCACTGCCCACAGTGTGTTGACACCTTCCCCCAGCTGCCAGAGCTGCGTCGCCATCTCATCTCCCATACTGGGGAGGCCCACCTGTGCCCTGTATGTGGGAAGGCCCTCCGAGACCCACATACCCTCCGTGCTCATGAGCGCCTACACTCAGGGGAGAGGCCCTTCCAGTGCCCCCAGTGTGGCCGTGCTTACACACTGGCTACCAAGCTTCGGCGCCACCTCAAGTTCCACGTGGCGGACAAGCCCTATCGCTGCTCTACCTGTGGCATGGGCTACACCCTTCCTCAGAGCCTCAAGCGTCACCAACTCAGCCACCAGCCCAGGGCTTCCTCCAGCCCACCTCTGCCTCCTACCTCTGAACCTACCATGGTGTTTCTACAGACTAAGCCAGAGCTGTTGGGTGCATGCAGCCAACAGGAAGTTCCCCCAGAGGGGGCTGTTGTGGAGGTCACCATTTCTGAGAGACAAGAGAAATGTTTTATGGTGCCGGAGGATCCAGGCCCCAGTGTGATGCTTATCCACAAGGACGTGGGCTTTGGTGGCTGGGCAGAGGTGGTGGAGGTGGAGACAGACGCCTGACATCAGCATGCACCTCACCACACGCACACACACACACACAGAGTTCTCCATAAAGACTGTTCTGGTGCTGTGTCTTCATTGTCTTTGATGTGTGTGGCCTGGTAGGAGCAGGAGTCTACTGGGAGACACAGATCGAGGGTGGTTCTCCCTGCTTGTGAGTATTGATGCCAAGACCACTAGGTGAAACCTGGAGTAGGGTTCTGTTACTGACTCCCAGCAGAGCTTAACCTCCCTCCCAGTGAGCAAATCAGTAGTCCCTTCTGTCACCCCACCTGGGTGTTTAGTGCCAGGATGGTCACAGCCATCCTGCTCCCTAAGACAAACACTTCTATTAGGAACCAAGTTGAATAGTTTGAGGGTTGAAAGGGCTTAGCTGACAACCCCTCTGCACACATCTCTGTAGTTAAGGTTTTTTAGTTACTTTTGGCAGGTTTTCCTGTGCTGAAGAACCCCAGACAACTGGGGGAATGGCTAGGATGTGTACCTTTCCATAAACCCAGCACACAGGCCACCCAGCTCAAGGAAGTCATAAGTATTCTGCTGCTGCCACAAAACTACCTGTGGGTTGTTTAAGGTCCACTTACCCTACCTTATGCTAGAGTTAGGCTCCCAATGTCTGCATAGTATTTGGTGGTTCACCTGGACTTGGTGGATGAGTGGTTAAGCAGGAGGTGGGATGTTGAGGCTGTGTGCAGGGTGAGGGGTGAGAACAGAAATAATTCCTCAGAGGTGATCAGGGGAGGCCTCTGGTGAGGTGGGCAGCAGAGACAGTGGGGAAGTGGGCAGAGACCTCTGGGGAATGAGTGAGGCAGAAGAAACGGGACCAAACTCAGCATGGCCAATTAGAGTAAGGAGCTTGCTGGGGCTACAGGGAAACCCTGACTCAAGAAGAAAATGTGAGCAGAAGAACCAAGGAAGAATGGGGAAGGTGAGGACAGAGGCGGCTATGTAGGCTAGTAGAAGGGCTTTGGGTAGATAGGATCTCTGGGAGGCATGTGTGATAGAATTCAAAGACTGAGTAGCTGGGTGTCATAGTGATGGATTCAGGACATTTCTAATTTGGGGCTTTGAGAGCCAAGGACTTTGGGGAGAGTTCAGGGTCATTAGCAAATAGGAGGCCATTGAGGCTATAAGAACAAGAACCAAGGCCAATATAGCTTTGCTGTCTCGGGTCAGAGGGGGGCTCCTCAGGGGAGTGGAGATCAGCATGGAATGGAAGGAAAAAAATGTGTCACTGGAACTAGAATACCACTGAGGGAGAGATGGTCAGCAGTGATGCTGGTAGAGATGAAGAAATGGAGGCCTAGAGACTGCCAGGGTTATGAGGCCCATCAGTAGCTGAGCTAGGTTAAAACCCAAGCTTCTGGTCACATAAATACGTGTGTGTGTGTGTGTGTGTGTGTGTGTATAGGGGGGGTTGGTTTTTTATTTTTCTTTTTGAGACAAAAAAAGGTCTCCCTGTAGCCCCAGCTGGCCTGAAACTCACTATGTAGACCAGGCTGGCCTTGAACTCAGTAATCCACCTGCCTCTGCCTCCCAAGTGCTGGGATTAAGTATGCCACCATGCCGGAATATATATTATAATATATACATATATATTTTTTAAGTGTGTGTGTTGCCTGCATGTATCTATAAGTGCACCCTTATTGTGCAATGCCCACAGAAAATAAAAAGGCATCATAGCCCCTAGAACTGCAGTTATGGACAGCTGTTAGCCTCCATGTGGGTGCTGGGATTCAAACCTGGGTCTTTGGCAAAGTAGCCAGTGGTCTTAACCACTGAACCATCTCTCCAGCCTCAGCTTTATCCACTTTTTTTTACATTATTTTTATGTGTATGAGTGTATTGCCTGCATGTGTGTAAGTGCACCTGTGTCTTGCAATGCCCAAAGAGGTCAGAAGATAGCATCAAATTCCCCTGGAACTGGAGTTATGAATAGTTGTTAGCTGCCATATGGGTGCTGGGAATTGAACCTGGGTCCTCTGCAAGAGCAGCCTCTGCTCTTAACTGCTGAGCCGTGTCTCCAGCCCCTTCTTTATTCACTCATACAGTTCAGGATCTTCTGCCTAGGGAATGGTGCCACCCACAGTAGGTAAATCTTCCCACCTCAAGCTGTGTAAACCTCGTGACCCGAGTTCAGCCCCCCGAACCCATAGTGGAAGGAGAGGATTTACTTCCAAAAGTTATCCTCTGACTTCCATTCATAGCACCACAGCATGTGCATACCTGCACTCACAAACTACAAACAATCAAGAAAACTTTTTTGTTTGCTTTTGTTTTTTGAGATAGGGTCTCTCTTTAGCCCCACGTAGCATTGATCTTACAGATACCCACCTGCCTCTGCCTTTCTAGTGCTGAGATTAAGGTATGTGCTACCATACCTAGCTTAAGAAAAAAATTTCTTAGTTGAAAAAGTTTCCCCAAACTGGAAGTTTGTGCTAATGATCATCAATAGGTGAATGGAAAAATAGGCATAGCAGCACATATCTGTAAGCCCAGAGGCTGCGGCAGGAGGATTAGGTTGGCTTAAGCTATATAGCAATACTTTGTCTCAAAAGACCACCACCACCACTAAAAAGAATGGATAGATAGGGGCTTGAGTAATTGCTCAGCAGTTAAGAACACTGGTTGTTGCAGAAGATCCAGGTTTGAATCCCAGCACCCACATGGCAGCTAACAACTGTCCATAACTCCAGTTCCAGGGGATCCGATAGCCTCTTCTGTCCTCCAAGGGAATTGCACAACACGGGTGCACTTACCTACATGAAGACAATACACACACATAAAAATAATTTTTAGCCGGGTGTGGTGATGCACGCCTTTAATCCCAGCACTTGGGAGGCAGAGGCAGGTGGATCTCTGTGAGTTCGAGGCCAGCCTGCTCTACTTAGTGAGTTCCAGGACAACTGGAGCTACAGGGAGACCCTGCCTCAAAAAGACCAAAAAAAATTTTTTTTTTTTAATTTTTAAAAAAAATGAATAAAATGTGCAGTATTTGTGCAAGGAATCAGAACATTAAAAGAAATGAGCCTCATGTACATACCATGTGTGAATCCATGAAACAGTAAGCTGAACTAGGTAGGCACAAAGATGCTGCTAAGTTCTGTTTATATGAAGTCCAAAGACAGGCAAAACTGATGTGTGCTGGTAGTCATAGATGGTTATCAGAGGACTCTTCAGAAACCTGACATGAAGGGGCCTGTCAGGGCGGGTCACACAGGACTCTGTGAACATTATGTAAGTTAAACCTCATTTTAAGAGGCAGAAACACATAAATTTGGGGCTGGGGGAGCATCAAGATGGCTTAACAAGTCTTTACCTACACCTGCTACCAAACCTAATGACCTGAGTTTGATCCTTGGGATCCACATTCTAGGAGAGGACTGACTCCTGCAAGTTGTCCCCTGACCTCCACATCCATACAATGGCATGTACACATGCACACATAGACACACGTGTGCACAAAGAAAAATATACTTTTAAAAAATTTAAGAGCCATATATGGTTTTTGAAGTTTATAGTAATGTGTGTGTGAAGGTCTATAGGAAGTGGGCCGCTTGGGAATTAAGTGGACTGTGTGAGTCCCAGTCCCGTTTTCTGCCAACCCTTTCTCTTCTGGACTGTACATGCATGGCCCCACACAGCTAGCCCTGATGATAAGCAAGGCCTGTGCTTCCCGGTGTACCTGCTCTTTGTCCTTCTGTCCTGTTTAGACCCAGGACTAATATTTACCTTGCAAACAGGAAATGGGGGAGGGTCAGGAGCTGTATAGAGCCAGAAGCCTCTAGTGGTTGGTCCAGTGCTCACAGGTGGGAGGGAAAGGGCCCTGTCAGGAAGACCCAGAGAGGAGGGCCATCCCCTGTTCTCCAGCAGAAGATGGGAGAAGATAGCTGGAAGCCAAAAGTCTCTGGACCTGGCTCCTCCTCCTAGACAACTACCATTCATAACACCACAGCACCTTGAGAAGGGAAGAAGAAAGGGGACTCACCCTTTAGCTGAGAGGCTGAGGCCAATGTTAGTTGCCTCCATATCTGTGACTTCTTATGCATTGGGATGACACCATGATGAGCCTCACTGGTCCCATGCACAGACCTGATCAGTAAACCTTCTTTCATGTGTATTTATATTCATAATCTCCATTAGTTCTCCCTGATGCACAGATGAGGAAACTGCTATGCAGAGTCACTCCACCACCAGCCACCATCACCCTTGGACTTAGAAGGAGCCTGAGGAAGTCTTGGAACTTTTTTGGCCCACATTCACCCATGTCTCGGGGTGGGAGAGGGTGGGTGATGGTCTGTCTTTTTTATGTGAGTTTTCTCCCTGAGACCATCCATCTTTGCCTGGTCCCAGGAGAACCTGTCTTCCCAGATGGTGGGGGTGGACCCAAGGACTGACTATCCATTTGTCCCCATGGCCCTGACCTGCTGACCTCTTCTTTACCACTGATTTCTTCACATTCGTTCAACATTAACCCAGAGAGTCAGGACAATCCCTCAGATCCCAGGCACTGACACACTATGTCGCTGATCAGAGGCCTGAGGCTACCTGGCTGCCTGGTCCTGGCTACCCTGGTTAGCCTGGTGCACAGCCAGCATGGTAAGGGGCATTTGGAGGCTGGGGCAGGCTGGAAGATGTGGGCTAGGCCTGTGGGTTAGGGTTTCCTGGCTAGACAGAAAATGCAGGGATGGCCCCAACCGGACCTCAGTCAAGCCAGAGTGTCTGGCTCAGGAAAGGAGTCGGGTGCAGGGTTCTTGTCTCTTCCAGAATGGGGAGTGGGCTGGGACAGCCAATGAAGGGCGGGGAGCTGGCAGGCAGCTGTCAGTGGCCTTCTAGGTACTTCCACATCCCAGACACCCCTTCTTGGAAGCCAGCAGGGCAGGCCAGACCTGCTCCCATGCCCCCTTAATGGCCAAGACATCTGGCTCCCTGAGGCGACTGTCCCACACCCCTCCTGCAGTGTTCCTGGCCCCTCAGCAAGCACTGTCACTGCTCCAGCGGGTCCGTCGTGCCAACAGTGGCTTCCTGGAGGAGCTCCGCAAGGGCAACCTGGAACGGGAGTGTGTGGAGGAGCAGTGCAGCTATGAGGAAGCTTTTGAGGCCCTGGAGTCAATCAGCTACACGGTGAGCACTGGCTGATGGGAGCAAGGATGGGGCAGGGCTGGGGTCCCTGGGACCACAGATGACATGAGTGAGAAACATCCTGGCCCTTCCCTGTTGACATCTTCACTTCTGCTCTGAGCCCCATCTCAAGGGGCTGCAAAATGGGCACCCAGAACCTGTCCTGGTGGGGGGCCTATGCCTAGGTCCAGTTCCAGGACCTGGTAAGGCTCAGGACATCAGAAGACCTCTTCAGGCTTCAGCATTCAACTACACTGGGATTGTCTGGGACACCCGGTGGTGGCCAAAGCCTTCCTGCCATTCTGTGCCACCTGTGGGAGGGTCACCCTGGGCCCAGGACCTCCTTCCTTGGGGGCCTGCTTCTCCTACCTACCCCAGCCTTGGGGAGACCCTGCTCAGTCGTGTGTACTGGGAGCGCTCTCCTCAACTACTGTATCCTTCTGGAAGCAAAAATGGGAGACTCAGCTTAATGCCTCCACAGAGCCTTCCCTGGTGAGGTGGTGAGGGCCTACATAACACCGGCTAACTGAGGTAGAATTCCATTCTTCTAGAGTCTCACTCCCAGCCCTTGCTTTTCAGGATGTGTTCTGGGCCAAGTACACAGGTGAGCAGCTGGGAGGGTTTGCCCTGGGAAGGGAGGCTGAGGGACTCTGGCCAGAGAAATGTTCTTGCCCACAAAAGAGCCCCCATTTTCTTTCCTCCCACCCTCCCTCCTGTTCATCACTCCACCAAACTTCTCTTCACTACATCCCATGCCCGCAGCAATCCCAAGGGTGTTTCTTCTGGTCTTTTCCAGCTTGTGATTCAGTGCGGAAAACTCGAGAGATTTTCATGGAATGTCTAGAAGGTGAGGAGCAGACACCAGGCAGGAGAGTATTGATGGGAAACGTGGGAAAAGAGGAGAGTTAGGAATCATGGCCGTGGTGACTGGGTCTAGCACCTGTTACTGCCTCTTTGTTCCCATGGTCACAGATGTGTGTTTGTATGTGGCTTTGTGTCTGGCAGTCAGCAAGATGATTAATGTTGGAGGAACAGGGAATGAATGGATAAATAACTAAGCTTTGGGGCTTCATTCTCATTGCCTGATTGGAGCCTCTGTCCATTCTGGGCCAGAGCTTGATCATGTCAATTCATTCATTCATTCTCCAATTTTATTTTGTTTATCTTGTTTTTCTTTTCTTTTCTTCCTTTTTTTTTTTATTGTTGTATTTTTAAGACAGAGTCTCCCTGTAGCCTCAGCTGGCCTGGAACTTGCTATATAGACCAGGGTGGGCTTGAACTTACTGAGATGCCTCTGCCTCCCAGAGTGCTGGGATGAAAGGCGTGTGCCACCATGCCTGCCTGCTTTGCTTTTTCAAGACAGGGTCTCCTGTAGCCTAAGCTGACCTTGAACTTGATGAGTGCTGAAGGTGACCTTGAACTCCTGATCGTCCTAGTTCTACTTCCTGAGTGCTGGGATTATAGGCTCATGCCACCATGCCTGGCTTTCATGCTCCAAAACTAAACTTTTAGCCATTTCCCATTACCCACAGAAGAAAACAAGCTCTTAACCAGGCAGACTTTGCATGTCTGGCCTCAACTTCCCCTCTAGACCTTCCATTGTATCCAGTGAGGACCCAACCCCTCCTCTGACAGCAAGCCCATCTGTAAACATGCCAAGCTGCCTCAGTCCTTGCCTACATTCTCACTTTCCCCTGGAGCAGCCATCACCACCATAAACCCCTGTCCTTCAAGACAGTTCAAGCACTGCCATCTACTCTGAGCCTTCAGGGAGCAGCCTCCCTCCACAGCCTTCTGAATACATATTTAGTCTGACTGTAGACTCACTACAGACAGGGAACTCCTTAACCATCAGTTCCCTTCTTCTCTTTCTTCTGAAAAATTTTTATTTATCTATCTATGTATGTATGTATTTATTTTTGAAACAGGGCCTCATGTGGCCTATGCTGGCTTTAAATTCCTGATCTTCTTACTTCCACCTCCTGAGTACTGGGATTACAGGCTTGCACCACCGTGCCCAGTTCATAGTTTCTTTTTTCTTTTTTTTTAAATATTTTATTTTATTATTTTTATCTTATGTGTATGAGTGTATTGCCGGCATGTATGCGAGTGCACCCGTTTCATGCAATGCCACGGAGGTCAGAAGAATGCTTCAGATTCCCCTGGAACTGGAGTGAAGGACGGTTCGTAGCCACCATGTGGATGCTGGGAATTGAACCTGGGTCCTCTACAAGAGCAGTCAGTGCTCTTAACTGTTGAGCCATCTCTCCAGCCCCCATAGTTTCTTTTTGTTACTGTTTTTTTGTTGTTTTGAGACAGGGTCTCCCTGTAGCCCCAGCTGGCCTAGAACTCAAACTCTCTATGCAAACCAGGCTGGCCTCAGTCTCACAGAAATCTGCCTGTTTCTGTTTCCTGGAGTGCCAAGATTAAAGGCAGACCCCACCACATCTGGCATTGAATCATTTCTTACTCAACAAATATCGTACTAAGTTCTCAGTATGTGCTGTGTGCCAGATACTGTGTTGGATACTGAGGAAATTTTTTTTTTTTTAAGACAGGCTCTTGCTCTGCAGCTGACTGAGCTGGCCTTGAACTTATAATCCTCTACTTTGGCTTGCAGCATGCAGGTGCTGGGGATTGAAGAGCATGGAATTATCTTGTTTTTAGGAACTCACAAGCTCAAGATAACAAAAATATAAAACATTAAAGGGATTACTGGAAAAGTTCAGTTCCTGATGCCAAGAGCACACAGGAGAAGAGGCAATTGGCTTGTCAGCAGAATCAGAGATGACTTCCCAGAAGTGCTGTTTACCAGGCCTTGTGGGATGCCCCAGTGAACAAACATGAGAGAATTCCAAGCAAAGGAAGCAGCATGTGCAAAGGCCCAGAGGCACGAGACACTAAAGTGCCTGTCACAGGGTTGTCAAGTGGCTGCTACTGAATGAGAGCAGAACTGCTTTAGTTGCAGACAAGCAGCTAGAGACATGAAGGTTATGAATTGTGGAGCAGAGAGAGTTTGGAGGAACAGGATAGACTGTTTTGCTAGCATAGCTGGATTCAAGTCCTTAGGGTCTGATGCAAACTGGGGCTGTGTCTCTGCAGGTCACTGTGCCAAGGATCTGGGTGTGAATTACCGTGGGACTGTGAATGTCACCCGTTCGGGTATTGAGTGCCAGTTATGGAGGAGCCGCTACCCACACAAGCCTGAGTGAGTGATGGGCAGGCTTCTCCATCAGTGGGCCAAGAGGGGGAGCAAGGACATACTGGGGAGGCACAGGTCCCCTGAGCAGTCTCCTCCTTCAGCATCAACTCCACCACCCACCCCGGGGCTGACCTGCAGGAGAATTTCTGCCGCAACCCAGACAGCAGCACCAAAGGACCCTGGTGCTACACCACAGACCCTACCGTGCGAAGAGAGGAATGTAGCATCCCTGTCTGTGGTGAGCTGGGGCGAAGAAGTGTTCCATGGCCAAGGCCCAGGGGTCCTCATAGGGCCTGGTAGTCTCAGATGGACATCAAGATGCTGGTCATCTTCAGAGCTAGGGTTAGGGGTTCTAAACTAAATGGGCCTGTTGGCTAGGGAGGTTGGGAGCCCTGGCCAGGTTCCCTTTTCTCCCTCTCAGTTTTGGCTTCCTTATGCTCTAGGTTGTGGTTCATTTCAAACATACTTTTTGTCCTGCCAAAATACTCTCCTCTAGGAAGCACTCTCTGACTACTTCAGTCACATGACCCTTTCCAAACACCACAGAGCAAGCATCATAAGGCTCTGCCCTGGGAGACTCTGCTGTGATTAGTTCCCATGGTGCATTACTTAGCTGAAGCCACAATAATGCTGCAGAACAAACACCCACCACAGGAAGCACTGATTTCTTAAATCCCAGCGGCTTGGTTAGGGTGGCACTGCTATTCAGCAGCTGGCAGGTGTGTGTGCTTGGGGGGTAGAGGGGTGTTCCATCCACGTTTGCTAGGCTTGGCAGGATGATTCTGCTGTGAACTATGGGTCCAGCTGAACCTGGTTCCCTGATGAGATTGGATCCAGATCTGCCCCACTTATGCTGGGGCTGAGGCTGGCAGACAGCAGTTCCCCAGAGAAGCTTCTCCCGTCCATGGTGATGGCAGAAGCACAGAATAGTGGTCAGTGACATTGCCTTAAGGCCTTCACTGAGAACTAGCAGTTGGTCTGCCCTTGTTCCATTGGCTACAGCAAGTCATATGATCAAGGCCAAAGTCAAGAAATGAAATATTGTCAGCCTCTAAAACCACAGGGCAAAGGATGTGAACACAAGCAGGGTGAAGAGTTCATACCATGGGTTGGGGCTGTAGTTCCATGGGAGAGCATTTGGCTAGGATGCACACGGTCCTAGGTTCACACTCCTTACCTCAAAACCATAATCCCAGCTACTGAGGAGACTGAGGCAGGAGAATCAAGAGTTCAAGGCCTGAGCTGGAGAGATAGCTCAGCAGTTAAAGAATACTTGTCGCTCTTACAGAGCAACGACCTCCTGTAACTCCAGCTCCAGGAAATCTAACCCCTTCTTCTGGCCTCTGAGGGCACACACACACACAAATAAAAATAAAAATAAAAAAATCCTTTTTAAAAGTTCAAGGTTTTCCTGGATGACAGTGAGCTCAAGGCTATCCTTGGCAACTTAGTGAGACCTTATCTCAAAAGAAAAAGAAAAAAGAGGACTGGAAGACATAACTTAGTGGTAGAGCACTTGCCTAGCATGTGTAAGGCTGTTGATTCTAGCCCTTGTCCTCTGTCAGCTATGTTCCACCCTGAGACAGGTCTTAATGCAAATCACCAATGATCTTTTTTTAAAAATATATTTTATTTATTATTTTTATGTGTATGTTTGTATTGCTTGCATGTAGGTAAGTGCACCTGTGTTGTACAATGCCTGAGGAGAAAAGAAGAGGCTGTTGGATCCCCTGGACCTGGAGTTATGGACGGTTGTTAGCTGCCATGTGGGTGCTGGGATTCAAAACTGGGTGTTCTGCAAGAACAGCCAGTGTTCTTAACTAATGAGCCATCTCTCCAGCCCCAAATTACCAATGATCTTAACATCTACCTTTACTGCCCCCACCCCACTAGTGATAAATATGTTGCAAGTATTCTGAAGTTGACCTTCTGTCCACACAGACATCCTCAGTAGACCCCAACAGTCTTTCCTGCAGTACCCTATTAAAGCACACAGTCCTTTAAAAAAGGAAAAAGGCAACACATCAAAAAAAAAAAAAAAAAAAAAAAACCAACCCAAAACAACAAAGCTTCACACAAATTGACTCTAGGCAGTCAATCCCAATGGAGTGCAGATAGTGTAAGAGCCCAGGAGGCCCTGCCTAGTTACCATATGTGGCTTATTATGCCCCAGACACTTATGCTATATACTTTATTTAATCCTCTCAACTACTGCACAAGACAGGCAGGCACAACCCATCTGAGGCTGAGGCTGGGGGTGCTTAAGGTACCTGAAGTCAGGTGGAATTCAGGAAGACAGGGATTCATGCAGCTAAAAAAACTCTCTGGGGACTGGAGAGATGGTTCAGCGGTTAAGAGCACTGACTGCTCTTGTAAAGGACCCGGGTTTGATTCCCAGCACCCACATGGTGGCTATGAACCGTCCTAACTCCAGTTCCAGGGGAATCCGAAGCCCTCTTCTGACCTCCGCGGCATTGCATGACATGGGTGCACTCACATACACACAGGCAATACACTCATACTCATTAAAAAAAAAAAAGCTGTCTCTGGTTAAGAGCACTGGCTGCCCTTGCAGAGGACCTGAGTTAGGTTCCCAGCCACACACCACACACATGGCAGCCAACAACTGTCCTTAACTCTAGTTCCAGGGGATCCCACACCCTCTTCTGGCCTCCACAGGCATTGTATGCACATGGCGCACTTACATACATGCAAAACACTCATACACATTAAAAAAAAAAAAAAAAAGACCGGGATTCACATCCTCTTTGTTGGGGTCTGCATGTGGTCTCCCCAACTCTGGGTTCTGCATCCTTCCCCACCAGGCCAAGAGGGCCGTACCACTGTGGAGATGACGCCCCGCTCAGGAGGTCCCAAGGGGAATCTGTCACCGCCATCAGAGCAGTGCATCCCTGAGCGTGGCAGGCTGTACCAGGGGAGATTGGCGGTGACAATACAAGGCTCCCCATGCCTGCCCTGGGTCAGCGCACCGGCCAAGGCCCTGAGCAAGGACCAAGACTTTAACCCGGAGGTGAAACTCGAGGAAAATTTCTGCCGCAACCCAGACGGGGATGAGGAGGGCGTGTGGTGCTATGTAGCAGGACGGCCTGGAGACTTTGAGTACTGCGACCTCAACTACTGCGGTGAGCAGAGCGGGCAGAGCAGGGGGCCGGGGTAGAGGACATGAGTGGGTTCATTACAGCCTTACAGAAACCTGGCTGGGGTAGGTCCTGTTCCCATTTTACAGACGAGTAAATCGAGGCCTGAGAGGTTATTGTCTGATGACTGAAGTGCTCTTGGGCTCTTTACCTCGGCATCAAACCCCGAGGTCTGCGGGGTTTGGGAAGGTCTAAGGTTCCAGCCCCAGCCAGTGCCTGGTCCTTACAGAAGAAGCGGTGGGAGAAGAGCTGGGCCAGGATGGGGAAGAGACCATCGGAGGGCGTACCACTGTCGAGGAGTTCCAGGCCTTCTTCGACGAGAAGACCTTTGGCTCCGGGGAGGCAGGTGAGCATCCGCGGGCGTCTGCCGGGCGCCGGGGTTGGCGGCGGGGATCGGCCCCTCACCGCTGGGCTTGCTCTGCAGACTGTGGCCTGCGGCCATTGTTCGAGAAGAAGTTATTGACGGACAAAACGGAAAAGGAACTTCTAGACTCTTACATCGACGGGCGCATCGTGGAGGGCTGGGACGCGGAGATCGGCATCGCCCCCTGGTGCGTCCCAGAGTTCTCTACAAGGCCAGGGAGGCCTGCCCCACCTCCAGGCCCCGTAGGACCTCAGCAGCCACAGGCTCTAGCTCCACGATGACACTAGCCTAACCCTACCTCTGATTATTCTGAAAGCCACCTTGGCAGACTGGCCCCATCATGTCTTCTAAGCAGATGGTGGAGCTGAGGCCCAGCAAGCTTAAGTGACCCACCCCAGGCACCTTGCTAAGCTGTGCTAACCTATGTGAGGTTTGCACTGGAAGAGGCTGGAGAAGGATGCAAAAAGCAGGTGACCTATGGGGCTTCCTTTCCTCCCACAGCCAAGTCGGTCTGGGATCTGAGCTCAGGAGGTAGCCCTGTCCCACTAGCTTTTTTTCTTTTCAACCAGGGTCTCATGTAGCCCAGGTTGGCCTGGAGCTCACCTTATAGCAGAGGCTGACCTTTAACTTCTGATCTTCCTTGCCTCTACCTCTGAAGTGCTGGGATCACAGACTTAGTGCCATCATGCTAGGCCCTAGTAGCTCTGAATCTCTAGTTTAGAGATGGTGAAGGGCCATACCCCAGCTCCTAATGCCTCTTGCTCACCTTCTTAGGCAGGTGATGCTCTTCCGGAAGAGTCCTCAAGAGCTGCTATGTGGGGCCAGCCTCATCAGTGACCGCTGGGTCCTCACAGCTGCCCACTGCCTTCTGTACCCACCCTGGGACAAAAACTTCACTGAGAATGACCTTTTGGTGCGCATTGGCAAGCACTCCCGCACCAGGTATGAGCTGGCAGCCCATGGTGACTAGTCAACTGAGATCTGAGTGCTCCAGAGTGGCTATGAGGGGCTCTGGTGACTCTGAGGCACGTAGGCTGTGTCTACATCTCTCACAACATGCCCTCTCAGCAACCCCACTGGGAAAGTGGCCTATTCCAGACACCATGGTCCAGGTGGAGTCTCTTTAAATTGTGCCTTTTTGAACAGTATGTGTGTGACTTGTCCCCACACCTGTGTGCTAGCCTGTGAGTCCCAAGCCCTGTGTGGCTGTAGGGCAGGGATTAAGCTGCCAGAGAGCTGCCAAGGAAGGTCTGGTGGCTCAGTGGTCATCCTGTCTCCCAGACTCTGAGGGCAGACTGGTCTTCCTCACTAAGCCAGGTGATTTCTCTGATGGGCCTATAGGTCCTAACTTCTCTGTTGGGGTCTGCACAGGTATGAGAAGAACATTGAAAAGATCTCCATGCTGGACAAGATCTTCATCCACCCCAGATACAACTGGCGGGAGAACCTGGACCGGGATATCGCCCTGCTGAAGCTTAAGAAACCGGTCATCTTCAGTGACTACATTCACCCAGTGTGTCTGCCGGACAAGCAGACAGCAGCCAGGTCAGCACTGGGTCTCGGCTCTGGACTGAGCCTGGCTTTGTTTTGGGGGGGCTTGGCAAGCATCAGTTTCATGGTGTGAACTCAAAAGTCCTTCTCTGCACAAGTGTTTTAGATGTTGGTCTCTGGGTGCTAATGCCAAGAAGCTCCTGGATGCTGTTGGGACAATTCTCATTAGATCCTTCTTTTTCCCCAAAGTTTGCTTCAGGCTGGGTATAAAGGACGGGTGACAGGATGGGGCAACCTGCGGGAGACATGGACAACCAGTGTCACCGAGGTGCAGCCCAGCGTCCTGCAGGTGGTGAATCTGCCCATTGTGGAGCGGCTGGTGTGCAAGGCCTCCACCCGGATCCGCATCACTGACAACATGTTCTGTGCTGGTAAATCTGCATGTCTTGGGACTGGGGTTGGCAGGCATGGGACATGATACAGGTACACACCTGGACTCTTGGCACTTACAAGTCAGATGACTTCTGCAAGTGGCTGAACCCCTGAAGATGTTTCCATGCTGTGAGGTTGTGTGAAGGCTAAAGCACCAGCTCTGGGCCTGAGGCCACTAATTCCTGTTCAATAGATCTGAGCTCAGCAGAGGTCCTGCTGTGAGGTTGTGTGAAGGCTAAAGCACCAGCTCTGGGCCTGAGGCCACTAATTCCTGTTCAATAGATCTGAGCTCAGCAGAGGTCCTGGGTGCCAAAAGGCTTTCATTCAATCATTCAGCAAATGTTTACTGAGTGCCTACTATGTTCCAGCCCACATTTGAGGGTACACAACAGGTACCCAAATAGGTGGTCTTGAGGGAGCTGGCTTCCTGGAAGGGGAAATACCAATAAACAGATCTAGAGCATCAATTCTTGATAACTGCTCCGGAAACAAAAGGAACAGAGTAAGGGAAACAGCAAGGGACAAAAGTGACTTAATACAGTGTTGGAGACGGGGAGAAGGTGATGGCTAGCAGGGACTGGAAGAAGAGAAGGAGTGAGCAAGTCACAGAAAGGGGAAGTGTCTCTAGGTTGTGTGGATAGCAGGTGCAAAGGGTCTGTGTTGAGAACATGCCTGGTAGGTCTGGCAGCAGCAAGGAGGCCTGTAGGGTTGGATCCAGCAATACCACAGGGGGATGAGGTGAGAGGAGAACCAGGTGTGGTGGTGCACAGCCACCCTGAGGCTAGCCTGGACTACCTGAGACCATCTTTTTTTTTTTTTTTTTTGGTCTTTTTGAGACAGGGTCTCCCTGTAGCCCCAGCTGTCCCGGAACTCACTATGTAGACCAGGCTGGCCTTGAACTCACAGAGATCTGCCTGCCTCTGCCTCCCAAGTGCTGGGATTAAAGGTGTGCGCCACCACGCCCGGCTGGACCATCTTTTTAAAAAAGTAGACAAATAATAGCTTATTGGGATATTTACTGGGATTATATTATGCTTAAAAATTAATTTAGTGAGGACTAATATCTTTTTGATGTTGATTACTTCCATTCAAAATAAGGACCAAGTCTGGGCATGGTGGTGCATGCCTTTAATCCCAGCCCTCTGGAGGCAGAAGCACAGGCAGGAGGGTCTCTGTGAGATAAAGCCAGTCTGGTCTACCTAGTGAGTTCCAGGGGCCACAGGGAGACCCTGTCTCAAAAAAAAAAAAAGGCGGGGGGATAGTGTTTGTTCACCTTTTGCACCTCGAAAAAAAGTCTTCCCATTTCTTTATATCTACCATGGCATCTTTCTGGAGTGCTGCAATTTATTTTATGATTTTTTTCTCTGTGGCACCTTATTTTATGTATTTATGTTTCCTCCCTTATTTTTCTTAAGTTAGTAAATAGTTTGCTAGTTTTAAAAAAACAAATGCTATCCAAGATTTTGACTTGTCAGATAATTAGACCTCCACATTTTTCTGTCCTGCAACATTACTTTTTGCTTTTATCTTTTATATGTGTGTGTGTGTGTGTGTGTACATGGTATGTGGGTTTTATTTCATGCTTGCATGACAGTGATTTTACTGACTGAACTGCCTTTTTTTTTTTTTTTTTTTTTTTTGGTCGTTTTTGAGACTGGGTCTCCCGATAACCCCAGCTGACCTGGAACTCACTATGTAGATCAGGCTAGCCTTGCTTGGCTGAACTGTTTTTTATAAGAAGTTTTATTCTGGTTTACTTTGCTGTTCTCTTCTGGCTTTTTGAGCTGACAGGTTTTTTTTTTCATATTTATTAAATAGAGCTTTGTATCAGGTCAACTGGGGCTACATAGTGAGAACTAGTCTCAACAAAATGAAATAAAACAAAGCCAAACCTCAAACAAAACAGAGGACTGGAGTTCAGTTCCCAGCACCCACAGAGCAGCTCTTAACTGCCTGTAATGCCAACTCCATTCAACTGACACTCTTCTGGTGTCTATGGGCAACCAGAAGCAAGTACATGTATACATACAATAAAAATAAAATAAAAAAATCTTAAGCTGGGTATGGTGGCATGTGCTTTAATCCCAGCACTCAGTAGAGGCAGGAGGATCTATGAGAGTTTGAGGCCAACCTGGTCTACATAGTAAGTTCCAGGCCAGCTGGGGATTCATAGTGAGACTTTGTCTGACAAAAACCTTAAAAAAAGTTTCTCTAGCCGGGCGTGGTGGCGCATGTCTTTAATCCCAGCACTCAGGAGGCAAAGGCAGGCAGATCTCTGTGAGTTCAAGGCCAGCCTGGTCTACATAGTGAGTTCCAGGACAGCTGAGAGGCTACAGGGAGACCCTGTCTCAAAAAGACCGCCCCCCCCAAAAAAGATTTTCTTTCGTTGAGACAGGGTCTTGCTGTGTAGTTCTGGGACTCATTACATAAACCAGGCTAGCCTCAAATATGTGATCCTCCTGCCTCTGTCTCCTGAGTGGTAGGATTATAGGTGTTTACCACCATGCATGGCTCCTAGTTGTTTAATAAATGTCTTTTTATTTTTTATTTTTCTGAGATAGGGCTTTACTTCATAGCATAGGCTGGCCTCCTATTCACAGTGCTCCTGCCTCAACCTCTGAAGTGCTGGATTATAGGTGTGCAGCACTATATTCAGCTTACCTTTTCTTTTAAGACTTTTATTATTACTACTGAACCCATGACCTTGAGCCAGGCAAGCGCTCTACCACTGAACTATATCTCCACCTCAGCTAATGATAGTTTTATTCTTTTTTAACTTTTAATTTTTTATGTGTTTGCGTGTCTTGCCTGCATGTAGGTAAGTGCACCCATGTCGTGCAATGCCCGAGGAAGTCAGAAGAGGCTGTTGGATCCCCTGGGACTGGAGTTAGGGACAGTTGTTAGCTGCCATGTGGGTGCTTGGATTCGAACGTGGGTCTTCTGCAAAAACAGCCAATGTTCTTAACCACTGAGCCATCTCTCCAGCCCCAGTTTTATTGTATTTTATTTTATTTATTTTATTTTTGTCTTTTTGATACAGGGTCTCCCTATAGCCCCAGCTGTCCTGGAACTCACTATGTAGACCAGGCTGGCCTTGAACTCACAGAGATCTGCCTGCCTCTACCTCCAAAGTGCTAGGATTAAAGGTGTGCGCCACCATGCCTGGCATAGTTTTAAAATTTGGATATTTAAGGGTCCCTTTGTGTTTTGCTAGGTTAACAACTGTGAGCGTTGCTGCATTCTGATGAATATTCTAATATTTTTACTTTTTGGAATTGATTTATGCACACCTTTAATCCCAGCACTCAGGAGAGGCAGGTGGATCTTTGAATTTGAGGCCAGCCTGGTCGACATTGTGAGAAGTTCCGAGCCAGCCAGGGCTACACAGTGAAACCCTATCTAAAAAACAGCAGCAGCAACAACAACAACAACCAAACCAACAAAAAATCCAACTCCCTGTAGTCACCATGCCCATATAGCAAGTGCTCTTATAGGGGCCAAGCCATCTCTCCAATCTGCCCTTATTACTATTAGGTCATTTATATCCTTATTTAAGTTCATTTTGTTGGACCCCCGGTCTGGGGTACCCAACGTCCACAGAAGGTCACACCCCAGTAACTCAGTCCTCAGACCAGGAGATGCAACAAGCAAGAGGATTTAATCGTTTGTGCAGACGAGGCTTCTGCCTCACTCAGAGAGAGAGAGAGAACAGCAGCCCCAAACTCAGCTTACAGGCAATTTTTAAAGGCAAAAACCACAAACCACAACCGGCAGCAGTGGGAAGGGGACCAGCAGCAACCGGCAGCAGTGGGAGGGGGCTGGCAGCAACCGGTAGCAGTGGGAGGGGGCCGGCAGCAGTAAGAGAGGGGAAGTTTCGGGTGATGTCCGGCTTGTGTACGGAGCATGAAAAGATCAGCTCTTTCTCAGCAGTTAGAATTTTACATCTTCCTTCCTTGTACAGTTTCCCAGAATATTCTTCTTTGGTCTGGGGGACTGGGTTTGAATCCATTTTAGCCTGGGAGGGCTTTAGTTTGATTCCATCATTCCCCCCTTTTCTATGGCAATATTTTAATCATAAAATCTATGGATTTTCTGGAAGCATCATAGCAGCAAGGTCAGTGAGTACCAATGTGATGATGGCAACAAGGAGGATCAAGGCTACAGAGAGGAGGATGATAGCAACTAATTCCCAGTTGAAGTGGTTCATGTGTTCAGGACTTTGAGGGTTGTGGGCATAGTCAAGAGAACTGTGTAGGGTCCTTTTCATCGTGGTTCAAGAGTGTTGTTTTTAAGCTGGGGTTATCAAAAAAAAAGGGCAAGGGGGACAAAGTTACATTGAGAACAGGAAGTGGTCCTCTAAAAAGAATTTTGTAGAGGGTTAGACCGTGTATAGCAGGAGTATTTCTAGCTTGAAATAGAGCTAGAGGTAGGAGCTGCACCCAGTCTTTAGTGCCAGTCTCTAAAGCTAATTTGGTTAAGGTCTTTTTAATAGTTCTATTTATTTTCTCTGTCTGTCCTGAACTTTGGGGTCTGTAAGCACAATGTAATTTTTAATTAATCCCCAGTGCTTTGGCCATTCCCTGACTTACCTGGGAGACGAAGGCTGGGCCATTATCAGACCCAATTACCTTAGGCAGTCCAAATGGAGGGAAAATGTTTTCGATCAGTTTCTTCACCACCGTCTGGGTTGTTTCCTTCCTGGTGGGGAAAGCTTCAACCTACCCTGAGAAAGTGTCTATGAACACTAAAAGATATTTATAACCATATTTTCTTGGGAGGACCTCGGTAAAATCTACTTCCCAGTTAGTTCCTGGTCGTGTCTCTTTTTTTCTCTCACCAGATGGGACCTTTGATCTGGTAGCATTCACTAGGGAACATGAGACACAATCTCCCACTACCTTCTGGACCAGTTGGTTGAGGTCTGGGAAATAATAGATTTGTTCTTCTCTTTCTAGTAGTGTCTTTAGTTTCTTGTGTCCTAAATGTGTCCACTGGTGGA